GAATAATTCACTTACTGGTATCCTTTTTCTACAATAAACATAACATAAAAGTAGATACTTAATAATTAGTAATACGACAGCAGAAAATGACAACAACTATAATGGCGACAAGGAAAACCGCTCCAACAGCAATGCCAACAATCAGAGCAATATTTGGTCCATCATCATCATCATCTTTAACTGTAGAATTATTGTTGCCATTATCTTTGCTTGTAGAAGTATTTTGGCTAACTTAAATAAAGAGTTGTGAACTTTGATAAATTTTATCAAACAGTCTTCTTGACGACCCCAAATTCAAACATTAATCAAAAGCTTTTTAAATAGGTCTAGCAAATAGTTTGAAATAGCCAGAATGAAACAATGCGATATGCAAAAAAAAATAAAATTCACAATAAACACTAAAGTTAGTGTCAGGTCATACGTAAATTGATAAATTAATAAAAAAAGTTTAAAAAACAAATGGTGAGACACAATCTCCAAAAATGATTGTTCCATATTAAAGAATTAAAGAAAAAAACGTTAAAAAAGTTACCGTTATTAGTGGGAGTGGAACTAATTGATAACGTAAAGGTAAACGTCATCGATGACGTAATTATCAACGGCGATAGACTGAATGAGCTTGATATAGGAGCTAGCACAATAACAAAAATTGTTCAAATGAGAATGATTCCAATATTGAAATTCCTTCAATATTGAAATGCGTGCCACCAAATCGTGAAAATTTGCTAGTTTGAAATTCCAGTCATTTAAGCAATTCACGCCAAGTAATCTATTTAATAATTTCTAATTAGCAGCAATTTTAAAAAACACTTGAGAAAAACGACGATTTTTTTGAGAGCAAACATGTTTCGACATTATCAGAATGCCATCTTCAGTGCAGAATGGTTAGTGTTAAGTAATATGATACATGATATGATATGAATAAATTAATTACAATGAATAGGATTATGATTCAGTTACTAAATATAAAATATTTACAAAAAAGGAAAAGAAAAATAAGTATTAAGAACTTATAACAAAAAATATTATTATAAAGTAAATATAGTGTTGTAGTGGTGAACTTGGATATTTAAATCGGGATTAGTTTTATTAATGTGTAGAGCTTCCTTGATTTTGAGTGAGAAAGTGGATTGATCAGTGTCGATGATTTTAAAACAGGAAGGTGAGAATTTGTTTCTACATGAAGGAGAGGCTTGAAGATGTTTGTAGATAGTGGAGTTTTTGTCTGTGTGAGTATGTTCCTTTATCCTGGTAAATAATTGGCGAGAAGTTTCACCAATATAGCGGGAATTACATCCCGCACATGAAAATTGATAAACTACCATAGATTTGGAAAGTTCGGGAAGTGGGTCTTTAAACGAAAATAAAGATTTTATTTTAAAAGGTGTGAAAATAAGTTTAACGTCAATGTCAGTGCAGTAGCGTTTAATGATTTGTGTGAGTTTGCGTTGTGTGTGTCGCGAGTAATCACCTATGTAAGGTAGTTTGAAATAACGTTTATTGTCAGGTTGTTGTATATTGTTAGTGTTAGTTGTGGCGTTAGATGAGTCAGTGCTTATCTTGTTGTCCAAATAGTGTTGTATAGTGTTGTTGATGAAATGAAAAGGAAAAGAATTACGTTGGAGAGTGAATATTAGTTTCTTTAAATCACGTTGAAAGCGGATGTCTGTGTTGTTAAGTTTCCGTGCTCTGTCGGTCAGTGTTCGTATCAGTCCAATTTTGTAATTTAATGGTATGAAACTAAAAAAGTTAGTCAGTAGTCCTGTATATGTTGGTTTGTGGTATGTAGAGGTCATACAGTTTTCATGTGATTTAGTTAGTAAGATGTCAAGAAAGGGTAACTGATTGTCTTGTTCGGTTTCGTATGTAAAGTTTATGTTTTGATGTTGTTTGTTGATGTATTCGTAAAAGAGTAATGCTTCGTCTTTGTTATGAAAAATACAAAAAATGTCGTCAACGTATCTGCGGTAAAATAAAGGTTTGTTGTTGCTGTAGTTATTTAACCAGTTTCGTTCGTGAAAACCCATGAAAATGTTGGCTAGAATGGGTGCCAAGGGTGAGCCCATACTTACCCCGTCAATTTGGTCGTAGTACTTACCGTTAAATAAAAAATGAGTCTCGGCCGTAGCGATGTTAAACAATAGTTTTAGTTCTGTTCTGTTCATTTTGAATGTAGGGTTATTGGTAAAAATTAAATCAATAGCAATGTCTATGGTTTCGGTCAGTGGTATGTTGGTAAAAAGGCTTTCAACGTCAAAAGAAATAAAGAATTTGTCATGTGGAGCGTTAGTGTTAAAAGATAAAAAATCATCGACAAAACTAAAAGAATCTTTAGCAGAATGGTCATTAGGTATTAGGGTTGGAGTAAAGAGCTGAGGTATTTGGCTAATTTGTAGTTATACGAATTGATTGAAGAATTTATAGGTCTGATAGGAGGTATGTCATTGATATTGTTTAATTTATGAAGTTTAGGTAAACCATATAATCGAGCTGGCTGTGAACCTCTAGGGTACATTTCTTGAAATGATTTTTCGTCTATAGAGTTTTTTTTCTTTAAGTTACGTAGCAGTCGTTGTAATTTTGCTTCACGGGAAATTGTAGGATCATGATCGAGTGGTTTGAACTTAGATAAATTGTTAATTATAGTGAGGCAAGAGTTAATGTATACCTGACGATCCATAATGACTACACCATTGCCTTTGTCAGGTTTAAGAACAATGATTTTGTCATTATTACGAATGTTCCTTAGAATTTTATGTTTCTACTGCACTGACATTGACGTTAAACTTATTTTCACACCTTTTAAAATAAAATCTTTATTTTCGTTTAAAGACCCACTTCCCGAACTTTCCAAATCTATGGTAGTTTATCAATTTTCATGTGCGGGATGTAATTCCCGCTATATTGGTGAAACTTCTCGCCAATTATTTACCAGGATAAAGGAACATACTCACACAGACAAAAACTCCACTATCTACAAACATCTTCAAGCCTCTCCTTCATGTAGAAACAAATTCTCACCTTCCTGTTTTAAAATCATCGACACTGATCAATCCACTTTCTCACTCAAAATCAAGGAAGCTCTACACATTAATAAAACTAATCCCGATTTAAATATCCAAGTTCACCACTACAACACTATATTTACTTTATAATAATATTTTTTGTTATAAGTTCTTAATACTTATTTTTCTTTTCCTTTTTTGTAAATATTTTATATTTAGTAACTGAATCATAATCCTATTCATTGTAATTAATTTATTCATATCATATCATGTATCATATTACTTAACACTAACCATTCTGCACTGAAGATGGCATTCTGATAATGTCGAAACATGTTTGCTCTCAAAAAAATCGTCGTTTTTCTCAAGTGTTTTTTTTAATCTATTTAAATTAATGAACTCTAGGCAATTTACTTTTCTAAACACTTTATTGATTATACTGGGGAATACAGATAAGTTAAACATATTTTTACTGATAGTCATTGAAGAATATATATTCATAGAAAAAAATGTTATGGTTAATGCAGCATGTAGACATTGCCAGTCTTTGCTTTACCACACGAGCCAGTAAAAAGTTATGTAATCAGAGCAATCTTCGTTGTTTACTGAAATTTTATTGTTATAAGGGTATTCAAGTGCATTCAAGAAGTCTAATGCTAATTACAAAAAGATAAACATCGGTCTGTCAACTTTTGCTACCAAGAAAGTTCGTACATAATGCAAAATAAAAGTCCAACAAGTGATAAACTGAGGTTCTTAATTTTACCTTTGTTAACAACAGTGAGATTTTTAACCTCAGATAAATCATTTCCCAGTTTATTCTTTGCTTCACAGCGATATGAACCTTTTTGACTGAAGTTGACAGATTGAATGCTGTATGTCTTTTTATTGCTGACAACATCACCATTATGATGAATAATGAAGGTTGGCGGAGGAAAACCATCTGATTCGCAGGTTATATTCACACTTTTACCAATTTTTGGATCTTTTTTTGATAGGGTTATGGTCGTATTTCTTGGTTGATCTAAAATTTAAAATTCAAAATTCTACGTATTTGACAATTTCAAAACTTTATTGCAAAAGTACTAAATATATAAGTTCGCAACTTACAATTCACTATTATTTCAATGGATTTTTCGTCAATGAAACGTGGATCATTAAAACTTTCAGCTTTACATCTGCAACTTCCACGATCATTTGTTGAGGCACCAGGGATTACTAAAGTCGCACTTTCAACTCCAAATCCACGAACTGTTGTGTTATCTTTATCAAACCATGTGACATTAGCAGGAGGGATACCTCCTTCACCTCTACATACACATGACACACTATCACTTTCATTCACAAGCAGAGGAGATGAACAGTTAATCGACACTGTTGGTTTAACTGAAATTAAAGACAGAATCATAATAATAGTCATGATAGAAACAATAGGGTATTTAATTGTAAGCGTCAGTGAGACAGGGGTAAAAACCGGAAAAGGAATGTCGCATCTGTAAAGAATAAAATTTATTGTTGTATGTGCTGTGTATGTCAAATTTGATTGGTTTATTCGTAGTCACATGATATAAAATAAACGCAATGTTTCTCGTCAGGGAAACAAGTGAAAAATTGTTGCGTGCTGATTTTAATATCATATAAAAGCATTTCGCCTTTATAGCATTTAACAACAAAATCTCGACGGACAAATCTCCACCGAAAGAGACGTTGATTTCATTGAAAAGCTGTGAAAATCTATGAATTTTATTCCTATATATAACAAAACACTTAATGTATACTTCCGTGAGAAATACTGAGCTTTGTTTTCCCTCGAATCACATGCAATGTATTGAGACTCTTGGAAAACTAAACTCACTATTTCCCTTGAGAGCATACAATAAGTGTATAACACAAATTCATGATATTTTACCACACGTCAATAATAACAAAGTTGAAGACGAAGTTTTCAAACATCTATAGTAACAAGATGATAAAATATATATCTGCAAAACTTACATTTTACTTGTATTTCAATGGATTTTTGATCTCTGAAACCTGGATCATCATAACTTTGTGCTTTACATTTGTAACTTCCACCATCATTCAATGTAACATTAGTGATTACTAATGTCTTATTTACAACTCCAACATCACCAATTATGTTGTTATTTTTATCAAACCATGTGACATTAGCAGGAGGGTCACCTCCTTCACCTCTACATACACATGACACATTATCACCTTTACTCACAACCAGAGGAGTTGAACAATTAATCACCACTGTAGGTTTTCCTGAAAACAAAAGCAAAAAAATTTAACTAATTATGCTAAAGAAAATGGATGCTGAAACAAAAAATAAAGTCTAAGGGATTTTTCTGAAATTGCAAGTGTTTAATAAACTTCCAACTAATAGCTGGAAATAGCAAATATTTCTGTCACAATTAATGCAACGCAACAAGAAGTGATATAAGAACATTCTCCCGTTAAAAATATTTAACAATTTTTGGATTAAGTTGAGCATGATATAAAAGAATATTCAGACCGAGGTCAATTGGATATCTACCGAAGCAAATCTGAGGGGGATAGCGCTGACTGCAGTCTGATTGAAAAATTTTTGCGGTTCGCTTTCGTCTATTTCCTGTAAATACGCGATGAAAACTCTCTGGACAAACAGTTTAACACTTTCGGCGTCTTTTCGTCTATATTCCCGATAATTTGAGCAGAGTAAAACACTTGAAAGTCTCGAGGAAGATTCTACCAAAATATTTCTTGTATATACAGTTGTCTCATAAAGAAAATTCGTCACCTACAGGTAATTTTCAATTTTTTCTAGGTGATAGTGTATTGACAATTATTTGAAGGCTTTTAGACAATCACAATCGAGATTGCATCACCGTTGTATTATAATAATTAAGCTCAACTAGCACAGATCAATATATGAACATTTTAACCCTAACCCTCACACCCCTTCACAAACAACCAAAATCTTCCAACGTGATCGTTAATGAATAAAATCAATAAACCCGAAAATAACCAAGACACGCTCTTGAATTGAGCTTTTACTCTTTTACAGGTTTACATTATAATATATGTATGACGAATTAAACATGTTTGGCTGGTCTGGGGTGTATTCTATTAGCTTTGCAACTGCAAAGAAATTGACTTAAGAGTATACGTACATGATGAATTAAATATAGGTCAAAGTGTCGTATGGGTTTGAGCGAAGTTGAATATGAAGCATTATAATCACATTGGTGTACTATAAATTAAACGGACACAGGAGAAACTAAAATGAACTACTCTTGCATGTACCTTGTCGTTTTGGGTTCGCGTTGATGACAACATAACAAGTGTGACTTTTTCCACCGTATAAAACATACTTGTAAGGGAAAAAGTGTTGTCCGATTCCAAAGCGAGTAAAACGTGTAAGATAATACTTTTCTACTCTTTCAATTATGTACTTATGTGAACACGTGAAGTTTTCTGGTTCTTTCCATTTTGCGGATGGAGAATAAAGAGAATAACGATATCCGTAGAATGGCGCAGTAACGTTCATAATAAGCGGGCTGCATCCACATGTCCCTAACAAGAAATTAAGTTATCTTTAACTGGTTGTCCAGAGAAAAAGAACAAGTAGAAAGTGACACTCATTTGGCCACAAAATGTTACATACTATTCACATTGAATCGAAAGTCCTCCTTAAACCCAAATAGACAATAACTATACAGACTTTATCATATAACAGCATATATTACTATTTTTGGCACTACCGTCATATTACTTTGCTTTTGTAACTAGACAGAGGAACAATGAACAGGAGATTATGCTGCGTCAATGCTGTGAAGCTAGTGTATCCAAATCAGTTGAGTACTTTAACATGTACCTTACGGGTTCAAACCATTTACTTTAGGTACCTTACTTTATTGCACTTTCTAAGAACACGGTTTCAATTACATATTTAAATTAAACAGTACCTCAGTAATATAAGTGTTGTGATTGTTTGCCAAGTACATGGCCAGTTGATGTTCTGTACTTACTGTAAACTGAACTGTTGTTTACTTTACCTTCAAGAGGACATATTTCACTAAACATTTTAAATCGCTCCAAAAGATATTTCTTCTCCTCAACACAACAACGTGTACGAGTATTGTTGCATTTTGAATCGATTTCGATTTTTTCCGCCACAAATTTCTTCCATTCTTCCTCACAAAACTCAAGCTTTTCATTCCAACCCATTTTCATCGTGAATCCTTGACCAAATAACAGCCACAATAACCACCATATCATTAAACTCATCATTGCATAGATCCAAGGATATACAGTAAAGCTCTAAATTATAATTGATTGTTGGATGTATGTACGTTATCACAGAAGACTTTAAATTTATATTTAGATCGACAATGACTACGTCACAATTACATCTGTGATGCAAGCAGATCACGATCAAAACGTATTTTTGAGCAATATATGAGCATTATCTAAAAAGTCATTTCAGCAAAATTGTGTAGCGAGAAAACTGTTCAGAAATAGATCGAGTTAGTCTCATATGGCTGCATGATGGCTCTCTTATTGGTAGCCACTGTAGCTATTATATAGGTACGTGGTTATAATTTTCTTAAAATAATGAAACTTGGTTAACTTTCAATTTATGCTTTATTCTTCTTACTCGGTTCAATCTAAATTTCAACTTTTTGTGTTTCAAGAGATTTATTGAACGATGAAAAAATGCCTTTTTGTGGATGGCGCTAAGGAAGTGAAGAAAGCGAGATCAAATTAAAATCAAAGCATTTATTTTAGATACAATAGATTAAAAACCCAAGACGATGTTAAAATTCTTTCTCTGAATATGAAATGAACAATTGTGCATGCAGAGCTTCCCATTAGCTATTTCATTTCAATTTCCTGTTATGTCATGATACATGTAAAAAACCTATGAAATCATAGAGCTTTTTTTCTATTGGGGAGGAAGAGCTTACGAAATAAACCATCGTCGATATTAAGGGCAGTTAAGTAGTTTTGGGTTTCAGCGTTATCTTGAGATTGCTCAAATTCTTTTATAAAAATTTACAGAAATATCACAGAAAATCTTGAAAATGGTTTGCAGCTTTTTACATTTTTCCAAGCTTTTCGTTACTCCTTTGTTTGCAGTTATTTGTGGAGTACTAACTGTCAATGAATACTCCATAAGAATTGAAAATGTCAAGCGGATTTCTTTTTAATTTTTCGCAGGTTCCGCTGAAGAACGAATATATTTACAGAACAGTGGAATAGGGTTTGTTTTCGATGTAGTTGAGAGATTTGAGCGAAAAATATGATAATACATAAATATACGAATCAAAATATTAATGTGAAACCTGTCCCCATTGTGGTAAATGAAAAAATCTCTCCATTTACTATAAGAATCAAATCATTTGGGGGGCGGAAGTTGTGCGGTGTTTGTATTAACACTTATTTGCCAAACTAAGTCAAAGAAAAATTTTGCTGTATTAAATGTTAACAAAGCATCGAAGATAAAGAAACTTCCATTTTACTATCAACTACATCACATCTTACCTTTGTTCTTTTATTAATTGAAAAGCGGACACAATAAGGCAACTGAAGCAATAAACCCTAAACAAACAGAGAAAAATTAAGATACATACAAGTCAGACGAACAACAGAGTTGTGGCTTTCGCAACGTTTTACTTGCAACTGCTGGCCAAGGCTGTTTCCTCGAGTGTGTAGTGCCGTATTGAGTATATACAAACACTCATGCCATCTGCCCCAGTTATTCAACATTTTATAGAATTTGTTTTGCGTCAAATCCTATACATTACGAATCAACAATAATACTTTAAATGTTTGGAAATTTGGATGCTGTGGTTGGTTGACGAAGCAATGTTATAGAAGATAATGTTATTGATATTTTAGAGAATTACCTCTGTTTATAGCTACGAAGCAGGGGCGGATCTAGAGTATGTCAAATCCGTCGCGCGACTAATGTTTGAAATTAAAAAATAACCTATTCATATTAATTAAAAATTCATCAATTATTCTTACTTATTATCGCATTTACTTCGTGATAAAAATCCAGCTTTATAACCCCTTTATTTATTATTGAAAACTAATGACTAATCCAAAGGAATATCTCCTTGCTAACCAGATCAGTTGAATTTTAATTGACCTGGAATAACCGACTGATAAGCGGTGGCTTGACTATTGAGCTCTATATTAACTGGAGGAAACGTCAACCAAATTACTATAAATTATTAGCGCAGCCGCGTGGTCAAAAACATGGCGGATTTTGGTTTTCAATGTCAGCGGAAAGACGCGGGCTGATAAAATAAAATTTTTTTCGCCCACCCTGATTTGACAACCATAATTGCGATTATGTAAAATTTCAATGCGAAGCACAAAAACTTTTAGAAATTTTATTTTTAAAACATGCTGCAAACTTGTTTGGTGTACGGATGCTGAAGTAATGCCAGAAAAGGAAACATTTCATGACACCGGTGAGCAACGTAAGATTGTTTACCATTTAAAGTGTTCAGTGTTTTGTTTTAAGTCAATACTTGAAGTGTGATGGTATATATTTTGTGAATGTTTTTACTTCTAAGTTATAATTTAAGTTATGTATATCCAGTCTTATTTGTTCTTTACCTAATTGCTTGTTAGACGAGGCAAAGCAACCAATTCTTATCGAGATATGCATGTCTTAAAACTCCTTGTTTCAACTGACTTTACCTCCAAAAAATAGAGGATTTTTTCATGATATTTTTCTGAAAACATGAAGCAAATATTAAGAACAGAGCTGTATTGAAATCAAATGCAGTGCAGGATTAATTAATGAACTTTTTGGTGCATGTCGTACAATAAAAAATACCTGTATTAAACAGCTAGCCTGGACAATTTGACAGATTATGAACAATCATGATGATGGTGTTTAAGGGTTTGCTTTATGCTAAAAGTTTTATAAATGCCATCGGGTGTTTCTGTAATTGAATTGTTTGTTATAGTAAACAGGTTAGTACATCAAAATCAAGATAAAAACTACTTTGTTCAATAATATGCCAAATTATGCTCCTACCTTGAAATATTTGCTCAAGAAAAGCTAATGATGACATGCATGAAACATTAAATATAGTACTGCATCATCTGTCAAAATCCATACGTTTTTCAATTTCAGGTGATTAAAAATTCACATAAGATGCATTGGTTGCAATGAAGTTGAATGTGGAAGAAGGAAAAATTGATGGCATAGAACTTTTTATGTCTTTTGAAGAATTACGATATCATTTAAAAGAATGAGATAGACTTTTCCAATTATGTATAGTTTCTTTGTACAAAATACTATTTTAGAAAACTTGATTTTTAAGTCATTCACTGATATTTTTACCAAAAGACAAAGAAGAAAAATTCAAAGGCATAATGTAAAATTCAAAAGTTTGTCAAGTTGTTTGAACCTAGAAAAAATTAGTATAGGTACTAGTAATTTGTAAGGACACAAGAGAAAATAGTGCAAGGTTAGCATTTTTGAGAATTAATATGTTCTTCTTGACATACATTACACAAGGCCATAATATTATAAATAATGACTGTACAATAACAATTATACAACATGCTAAAATCTTCACCTACATTATAATTATTTAAACAGGTTTGCCTCATGCAGCAATAAGAAAAGTGTTATGTCAGAGAAACCAATGCACTTTAATTTAAGAAATCATATTTTCAATGGGAAATTAATGTAGTTCTGTTCAGTAGTAGATCCATGGTTGTCAATGACAATCCAGTTTCTAATATCTTGGCTCAAAACAGAACCAGCAACATGATTATAGAATTTCTGAATTTCGTTCTTTTGCTCTCCTAGTTCAAGATATTTTCTTCATAAGTTCTCAGTAGATTTATCAGAATATCATAATACCTTATAAGACACCTAGAATCAATCCTACCAAAAAAACAAAAAAATTTCATACCTACTTATAATATATTTCCAGTCGACTTAAGTCGTAGGGGTAAGCTAACTTTTTCCTTTTTGGACATTTTAACTTAGATTTACCCATCTATTCAAGAAAGACAGTTGCACCAAGCTGTTATCAAACAGTCAAAAACACAAGTATTGTGCATGGGATTATGCATTAAAGCTTAACAACACATTGAAAGTGTAAAGAATGCCGTTTGATATTTATTTCTATCATAGCTAAAGCATTACTTGACAAAATCTACGTTATTTTACAGTAGATTTACCTCATTTAAATGTGTGTGTCTATTTCACAAAAACCTGAAGCATTATTTTCAATATTTTATGCTTACGGTATCGTGGTTGTTTTCGCTGGTTGTCATTGATATAAGCAGTAATAGAGATCCGGATTCGGGAGGGAGCGAATGTTAAAATTTTTCTCAGTGGAAGTTTGACAACCAAAATCCGCCATTACCGTTTTTTGACCACGGGGTCCAGGCCATTGAGCTCTAAAAAACCTGGAGGGGCAAAGGGGCCTGGACCCCGTGGTCAAAAACATGGCGGTAATGGCGGATTTTGGTGGTCAAAACTTCCACTTTAAAAATTTTTTCAATATTCACTCCCTCCTGATTTCTGTTTGTATGAACGAAAACAAGTGAGAAAAAAAACAATTACGATACCGACAGCATATCATGTGAAAATAATGCTTTAGCATTGCGTGAAAAACCCAGTACAGACACACATCAAAATAAAGAAGATCGACGGTAGAGAAACGCATATTTTGGATATAACATTTAAGTTATTTTATGACATTTTAGCCTTTTAAAAGTGAAAATCTAACGGCATTCTTTACTAGACCTGTCAATCTCGTCAAACTTATACATTATTTCATGCTTTTGTATGTTTGACTGTTTGTAAACAGTTTGGTGCACCTATTTTTCTTGCTTCAAATGGATAAATCTGTGTAAAAATGCTCCTAAGGAAGCCAGAAAATGTTTGCTTCAGTCCTATGACATAAGTCAACTGAAAGTTTACCATGGATAAGTATCATAAGTGTATTGTCATTACGTGATAAATCTACTGAAAACTCATAAAGAAAGTATGTTGAACTAGAAGAGCTACAAAAAAGAAAAAAATTCAAAACACCATGACACTGTTGCTTGGTAATTTGTATTTTGTAAACAGCTTAGCAGAATCTTGGATCTATTAATGAACAGAACTACATTAATTTTCCATTGAAATTACAAACTTGGAAACTAAAGTGCATTGGTTTCTCTGACAAAAACACTGTCTATTGCTGCATGAAGGCAAAATAGTTATTTGACAGTGTAGGTGAAGAAATTTATCAAGTTCTATAGATATTATTGTGCATTACTTACAGTTTTTTGGAATTGTGTAATATATGTCATGAACAAGATATAATTTTTCAAAATGCTAACCCCTTCGAGCACTACTACTCTTCTGTTTTGCTTAAACAACTTACAGCTACCAATACTAATTATTTATATGTACAAACTAACATTTGGGAATTAAATGATAAACAACTTGTTAAATCTTTGTATTTTACATCAAGCCTTTGAATTAGTTCCTTTTATCTCTTGGTAAAAAAAATATTGATGAAAGACTTACAAATCAAGTTTCTTGAAAATAGTATTTTGTACAAAGAAACTAAATAATTGGAAAGGTCACATGTTGAAGACAGACTTTGCTTCTTTGACTAGATTGCTTGACCATGAGCAAATTTAAATTTGTTTACAATTTGTTCAAAGAATTCTTTTTATTGATTTCTACTAATTCTTCATAAGACACAAAGAATTTCTTTGCCATCTATTTTTGCTTCTTCTACATTCAACTTCTTTGTAACCAATGCATCCGATGTGAATTTGTGGATCGCCTGGAATCATACCAAGTATGGATTTAACGAGATAAGATAATAATATGTTTAATTTTTCATGCATGTTAATGATATAATCATAAGCTATTGTTGAACAAAAATTTCAAGGTAGAAACAAATCTTAGCACATTGTTCAACACACTACTTTTATCTTGGTTTTGAAGTAGTAACCTGTTTACTATAACAATAAATACTTCATTTACAGAAACGCTAAGTAGTACTTTAAAATTGTTTGCATAAATCCAACTTTCCAATCCCATTATAATTGTCTACACTATACAGTCAGTCAAATTGAGCAGGCAAACAGTTTAATAGTTATTTTTATTATACAACATATACCATAGTTCTCATTAATTTTGCATGGCACTGCATTCAATTTCAACACAACTCTGTTGTAAACTTTCCCTTCATCTTTTCAAAAAAAAACATGAACAAATTCTGCCCCATTTTTGGGAGATAAACTCAATTCAAATCAGGAGAGTTTAGCTTGATGCCTTGATCATGATACAAGATGGATGCAAAACTCGATAAAAATTGACAGCTTCGCCACGTCTGGCGAGCGATTAAGTGAAGAACAAACAAGACTGGACCAAAATAACTTTAAATTAAAACTTAGTAGTAGAAACACTCTTCAAGTATCGTGTTAAAAACAAAATAGTAAAACTAATACTGTGCTACTTACCGGAGTCAAGAAATGTTCCCTTTTCTGTCGCTATTTCAGCATCCCCAAACCACAGAAGTTGGCAGTTTAATAAATAAAGTTTTAAAAAAGTGTTTATGTTAGGAAAATAAATAGTTTTGATGTTTTCTATACTCGCAATCGTGGTGGTCAAATCAGGGTGGGCGACAAAAATTTTATTTCATGAGCCCGCGTCTCTCCGCTGACTTTGACCACCAAAATCCGCCATGTTTTTGACCACGCGGCCGCGCGCTAATAATTTATACTAATTTTGTTGACGTTCCCCTCCAGTTATTATAGAACTCAATGGTATAGGTCAGGCCACCCCGCTTATCGGTCAAGATTATTCCAGATCGTCCACTGATCTGGCTATTGACCAATGAAATAAGCGTTTTTGGCGTTCATAGACTCCTTTATCAGTCGAACCAGTCAAGCCACCCCGCTTATCAGTCGGTTATTCCAGGTCAATTAAAATTCAACTGATCTGGTTACCAACGAGATATTCATTGACTAGTCATTAGTTTTCGATAATAAATAAAGCTGGATTTTTATCACGAAGTAAATGCGATAATAAAGTAAGAATAATTAATGATTTTTAATTAATATGAATAGGTAATTTTTGAGTTTCAAACATCAGTCGCGCGACGGATTTGACATACTCTAGATCCGCCCCTGCTACTTCCATTGTTTATTTATGTAATAATAAAAAGCTATGAGTCTTATATTTTTTCATTTTTAAATAAACAATAATATTAAACTATATTCTTATTAAAACTGTTGCCTCATGTTCAACGTTAAAGATCCTTAAGCAGCCAATTACACAGTTCCGTGAAAATTACACAACAAATTTAAAGCGTATAAAATGAAATTTCCTTCAGTAATATACAACTTAACACCTCACATCTAAAAATGAAATGATTTTTAACTCACCAAAACGTTTAGGCTTTTGCTTTATCAATAAACGGTTGAGGTTATTCAACTTCCTGGTTTAAAATTCTTGTATTCGTCGTCTTTGCGTCGTCAAGTCAGTCAATTGTGAGTTAGCCTCAGTTAGGTGTGTTTGTGTACATTAATGTATATTTTGAGTCTGGGTGGGGTGGAATGTCGGCGGTAGCAATTAGCACTATATAATAATTAATGTAATATCAATTTGATTATGCCTCTAAAGAAACACTTTTGTCAAAAAAAATTGCACATCGTTTTTTCTGAACTAATTCGCACACTGGGCCCATGGAGGTAGGGTAACCCTACCAGAAGGGTTACATTAGCAAGCAAGTTACTCAACGTGAAATTGCTTTATATGTAGCATTTACATGTGTGCTAGGGTAACCCTGAGGGTTAGGGTTTCCATATCAAATTGATAAGGTTACCACAACAGTTGGATAATATTTTTATTTCATAAACCATAAAAATGTTTGAGATAAGGTAATCCCTTTTAGTAGGGCTATGTTTACATCATATCTACTCAACATATTTGCATATCAGGGAAAATAAAGTGCTTCCAAAGCATAAAATTATACACAAGATGCACTACATGATTTTACAGAGACAAACAATAAAACTAGAGCCCATCCACCATCTACAAGGAAGTTTTCGAGATGGCAAAGAAGGTTTTTATTCTATGAATGTTAAGTCGTCATTGAAAAAAAACCACTCAATGTGAATATAATATAATGAAAATGAATTTGAAACAATTTTCAGAGGTCTTAGACTGAATTATGGATCTTTATAAATAGGCCTCAAGGAAGCCAAAATGTTTTATCTGCAATCATGTCTACAGCATGCTGATGTTGCTGTCACTAATAGTAATACACAAACCTGACAATGGTAGAGTCACCCTACACAAAAAGATAGCCTTGCAAGTATGGTTACCCTATTCCCATGTAAACAGGCCTTTATTATTCCAAAGCCATCATCAGAGAATAAATGTAATATATTAATCTAAACACGGTTTTTTTAATATGCACATGAAAAACATGTGACTTTGACGAGATTTGAACTCGCACCTTCGGGATACTAGTCCGCCGCTCTACAGGTAGAGCTCAACAAGTACAAGTACGTTATTCCACTAAAAATACAGCAAAATGTAACATACCCATGTAATTTGGTTTTCTTCCGTGAGAATTTCAGAAAGACCCAATTTCCTGCTTCGCAACGTTTGACGTTTAGCGTTATATAAGTCTTTCGTATGAGCTCTGTATTTTCGTTTTACGCTATTAAATTTTGTGATTATTTTATTCACTAGCGAAGAAGTTATTTACAACAGTCGTGAGTATTCTATGTGTTAGAATTTATTTACAGGCTTTTTATATATTTGGTTAAAGAAGGTACAGTTATTACACAGCGGATAATGTACTTGAAATTTGAGTAGTTTTACGTGATTATAAAGTTAAGTGCGTAAGTTTAAGTAGCGCGTTTGAGTAAGGGGGTGTTTACATGAATCCGTAATGAGTTTCGATCCGGAATGAACTCATTCCTAGTTTCATTCCGGATCGAAATTTACTTTTTATCTCATGTAAACGCGAATTGAGTTTCATTCTGGAATGATATTGTGATTAATGACGAAGCACGCATGTGCCATGGGTATTGTCTTCTGGCAAATTGAAGCTCGTAAGTAAATAAAGAGGCTAAATGGGTTAAAATGAGTGCGAAGAAGAACAACAATTAGTTTCATGTAAACACGGATTGACATCACGTTTCGATCGGGATTGAAAGTCATTCCGGATTCATGTAAACACCCCCTAAGTGTAGGATTGGCTATTTCCTCTATTGCTAATACATGAATCTAGATGAATAATGTACGCACGTGATGTACGTCACTACAGTTTAACGTACGTGATGTCGTTGTTGATTATGCGGTTTCAATGGGCGTATTTCATATTTCTGTGCATATGTTCACTCAATATATTCACTATGGTAATTCACTGGCGTATTTTTATTGAAATGATATAACTGGAATGCTAAGTGGCGATCATTGAACCAAAGTACATTGAATAAAATAGATGTATTTAATCAGTGTGGCCCACCGTGACAAGACTTTCTGAAAGTAAATTACCAAGTCAAACTGCAAAAATTACTAAAATCAATAAAAAATTACCGAATTCGGAGAAACAGTTGTTAAACAAATTCACAGGTTATGGCAAAAAATCAAACGACAAATGCATGTGATATTAGCAGGAGGGTTACCTCCTTCACCTCTACATACACATGACACATTATCACCATCATTCACAACCACATGAGTTGAACAATTAATTACCACCTTTGGTTTCACTGAAATTAAAAACAAAAAATATTCCTTTCTTAAATTAGTTATGAAAAAGAAAATTAATAATGAGAATATTCGTTAGTGTTAGGTGCAATTTCTTAGGATTGTTGGATCGATGCCCTAACCAGTCACAAGCCAGCACAAAGCCCGCTTATCAGTCTCCAAAAGTCCAAATTAGTGGAAATTTTCCACTAAACTGCTATCCAATGTGATTTTTGGATTAAACCACTGCATTGTGAAGCAATTCGCTTAATGAAAATTTCATTTGTAAAAAAGACTTTGATGTTGCAAAAGAACAACAAAATAACAATAATCACTCAACTTTCAAGCTGTATATTAATAATAAATTTTGAAATTTTGAAAGTCAATCGCGTGACCGACTAGACATAAACAATATTGACTTATTATGAAGCCTAAACAACTATCATTGGTCTTCGAAGAACTATAAACAAATCATAGTCATCTAAGGCTCTTGATAACCTATTTAATGAGGATATGCAATTGCCAAAGTTAACAGCTAGGTGACGACAGATGCATACGTCAGCGCAGCAGGCAGCGAAAGGGGCATTTGAGGTGTAGGCTTAAGAGTCAATCATAATTGGCAGATGTAGTCTTTCAGCACAACGAATCTAAATCTCGCAAACAAAGAAAAATATATAACTATCTTCATTGTTTAGCACAATCTTGCACTATCGTGTACAAATGGGATAAAACTGAATAGTCGTAATTTGTTCATGTACAATGTAGAATACTAGCCCAAAAAATTGATGAAGTAAAATTTTAATTTTACCTTTGATGATAGTAAGATTTTTAACATTAGATGAATCATTTCCCAGTCTATTCTTTGCTTCACAACGATATGAACCAGCGTGATTGAAGTTGACAGAGTGAATGATGTATGTCTTATTATTGCTGATAACTGCACCATTATGATAAATAATGAATGTTGGCGGAGGAAAACAATCTGATTCACAAGATATAGTCACTTTATGATCTTTTTTCACTGACATTGGACTGATGGTAATAATGGTTTGTTGTGGTGGATCTATAAAGAATAAAATTAAATTCAATATTCTACACAAACGTTTATAATGAGATCTGAAATGTTGTTGTACAAACTTACAAGTAGCTTTCACTGTTACTTCAATTGATTTTTCATCTCTATAATCTTCATCATCATAACTTTGTGCTTTTTATCTGTAATTTCCACCATCATTCACTGTAACATTAGTGATTACTAATGTCTTACTTACAACTCCAACATCACCAATTATGTTGTTATATTTATCAAACCATGTGACATTAGCAGGAGGGTTACCTCCTTCACCTCTACATACACATGACACACTATCACCTATATTCACAACCAGAGGATTTGAGCAACTAATTAAAACATTTGGTTTCACTAAAAAAAGAGAAGATATCGCTTTACATAACCACTATCTAACAAGAATACAGTATAGAACAAAAATATTTTTAACCATGAAATGTTGAAATGTTTGTTACATCATTTCATATGATGGTAAAAACTGTTTTTTATTGTACGAATCATATTTTTATGATTTCGTAACAACACAACAGATATATGAAACATTTTAAGAGAAAGATGATTTTTTTTCAAAGTAAACATGGGTTTCGGCAATCTTATACCATCTTCAGTACAGAGGAATGAGAAATATATTCATATGAAATATGTTACAGGTATCAAATTACTGAATAATCTAGAGATACGTAGAAATTGAAGATGGTGTTGATGTGATGAATTTGTTTGTTTGACTTTTTTAGTATAGAGAGCTTCTTTAAGTTTTAGAGTAAAATAAAAGGTAACCGATGTCCACGATTCCTTATTGGAATTGAGCCTATTATGTCAGCTGAGAGGTGGGACAAAAAGAAGAATGAAGGAGTCAAATTGCCCATGCCAGCAGTTATTGATCAATACAACAAGCACATGGGTGGAATTGATCTGCTTGATTCATTTCTTGCTCAATACCGTTTCAAGGTAAGATCACGCCGGTGCTACACATATCTGTATTGGCATTTTTTGATGGTGGCAATTGCAAATGCATGGAATTTATACCGGCGTGATTACAGATTGCTGGGATTTCCAATAAAGGAAATGATGAACCGTCGAAACTTTCAGGTATCTGTTGCTTCATCGCTGGTGCATGTAAATGCAAAACGAAAAGTAGGCCGACCATCACCGTTAAGCACTCCATCACCAACCCCGCAACAACCAAAGAAAAAACAGCGATTGCTTACTGCTGATATTCGGAATAATGGCTACTGTCATTGGCCAAAGAAAAGTGAGAAACGTGGACGGTGCAAACTTTGCATGAAAAACAACACAAACACTGTGTGTATGAAATGTGACGTTAGACTTTGTTTTGTTGAGGAACGTAATTGTTTCTATGATTTCCAACAGTGATAGCATTTCGAAAAACATATTTTTTTTCATTCTTAAAAACCTTGTGTTGTGTTGACTAAAAAAATTATACATTTTGCCCTGCTATTTGAAGTGCATATTCTTACAAACCATTCTGAAATGCATAAAGTTATCTTTTATGCCACAATGAGCCCGGTGTTACATATATGTCACGTAACACAATGAGGCTAAAATAGGACCTAACTACAATTTTTTCCCCATTTGAGCAAGTAATGACTCCAAATGAGTAAAAAAGTCAATGGAAATAATTTTAGCTATAGAAAATCACATTGTGGGTTCTACAGGGTTAAAATGATCGATATAAATCATATTGTAATTATATTAAATGTTCAAATAAAAAAATACCAATTTCTAAAATTGATAAAAACACAAAATAATAAAAAAACAGGGATGACTTACTTGCAACGAAAACTCTGACTTTGGATACAAAAGGAGAAAACGGATTGTCCTTTCTTGCTAATTGAAACTCATACGTTCCATCATAACTATGAGTGATATTTCTTAATTGCAGTGTTGAAGGTTTGTAGACGTCATAATTTAAAAGAGTTGGTGCACTTAACTTTGATACAGCACCCTTCACAGACAGTGGCCAAAAGTGTATGTCGTGAACCATTACTACTACCAGCGAAATACCAATCTCTAAATTGCAAATCACTTTCACTATCATTAAATGTCCATATTATATTGTGTGTTACTCCAGGTAGAAATGTAAAACTTGTGCCAGAGGGAGGTGATTGAATAATTCCTATACATGACAAGAAATAAAAGATAAATGTATAAAATCTAATAACGTTTAATTCATTTTCACTCATTAAATATCAATTATTAAATGAAAACAGTAGCAAAGGATAGAAAACTGAAACATATAAAACAAAAATTAACATATAGAACAAGGCTCAGACTTACTCCAATTTAAGGAAATTGCCATTTCAATCGTAGGTGGCCCCCAGAAAATATCCCCGCACCAAATTTATAAATTTATTTTTCAGTGTATGAAAATGAGGGCATTATGTCGTCATTGATAACAATTTATATTTTTCGGAAAAAATTCAAATATCAGAGCCTTTGCTAGCTGAGTAAAATAGTTTAGTGTTATAAAAAAGAGAAGTCGTTCCATTCCTGATGACTTTGATGTTAGTTGAAAACTTAAAAGTAGTTACACATTCCTGGACCTTTTTTTGCTTTTTTTTTGCTTGCTTTGAACTTCTTTGACTGTTTTCTTTAATTGCAACTTATTTTACAAGTAAAGAGATCAAAGGATTTTTTTCAATTTCAGTCACATTGCTAGATGTGTACAATAAAAGGCCCGTTTTGATTTCCAGAAGAGGCCCCGATGTGTCATGAGCAAATAAGTCAGTCTGAGCCATTAAGAAACATAAGAAACATCTTATTAATCATAACAATGACTACCAAAGCTTAATGAGCATTAGGCTCTTCAAATGAACATACAAAGGCAGAGGAATTCAGGTTTTTGAAGGTGTTCCACAATTATACAGAGAAAAATAATGACCTTTAAATAAACTATTGCGGTATTGCAATGATAATGTTGTTAAAGTATAATCATTGTTACTATATATTTATACCAGCTGCTAAATTATTTAAGTAAGTATTCAACTACATGTGAATCAACTTGAGAGAAATTATGAACACCCTAGAGTCTCTGGGTTTCCAAAAAACTGTGTAATTGATAACTAAGTTTTATTTTGGTTAAAATTGAGCTGTACAAACTAGTGTGACAGCATCATGACCAAATGTGATCTTTTACTTACAAGAACAAAACAAGCAATACTACAGAAGAAGCTAAAAGCTCTAAATCCAAAAACGTGGTGGACTTTGAAAATTTAATGAAAAAAAAATCAAACTAAATGACTGAGGTCAATTTCTAATTAACAAAAGATTAAGTGCATTGGTACATGGCATATCGACTTGTTGGTATGAGCATCAATACATAAATAATAACAGACATATAAATATTCAATAATTTATAATTTAGATTTGCAATTCAGCCACATAGAGCTGCATATTTTATAATGATGAAACACATTTGGTATTATTGTACAAGAACAAGTGCTATCACTTTTTACCACAAAAGATTCTGTTGTCGAATCATGAATGAGATATTCTTACTTATTTGCTCAATAATCATTACATGCATGTATTTGGAAGGTAAAGAACACTCTTTGTCTTCTAAAATACTGCAAGGTATTGCTTTTAAATTATTTCATTCAATGCAGAACTGGTTATTGTCATTGTACACAAAATGAAGAGTTAAGTGTGTATTTTAGTCAATATACCTTCAATTTCTAAGCAAATTCCACAGTTTTATTTGACAAAAATAAACATTAACTTCCTTAATGATCTAATAAAAATAATAAATACCTTGACATGTTGAAATCCAAATGAACAAAACAAATGAAAGGAAGCCAAACTTTTCCATCCTGTATTCAGTCTATAAAGGTAAAGGTGAAGATGCAACTTAAGTAAAATCACAGAACTACTACAGAAATATATGATGTATTCCTTCATATTTTATGTTTATTTTTGATTTCCTATCACCATTAATATCAAAGGAAACAAGAGCATCAGTAAAACTTCCTAAATTTAAAATTATTTTTGTTAAAAAACATCCTCTGTTGTTGCCAGTAAAACACGATTTTTTTGTTTTGTACTTTGCAAAAGTACTAAAGAACTTTCCACTATGATACATCTCAGACAACTCTTAATTCCACAGGAAATTCCGTGAAATGTCAATAAAATTATTTACAAATGAACTGAACAGTCAATATTTGATAACATTTTAAATGATTCACTTTACCTTAAACAATACTGAAGTAATTAAGCTGCAGTAATTTCTTAAACAAACCAGCTAATTTTCCTTATTTCACATTATTTCCGGGTCTCATGTTGTGCAAATATTTACATAAGTGAATGAAAAGAATGTAAACGCCGTGACAACTCTGTCATATGTAACAGAGCGATCATATTTTATCAAAACCTGTCTCATGACAAGCCACGCAAATTGCCCAGAGTTGTTTTAAAAACAGAATACCAGCCATACAATCTCTATTCTGTAATTTTATCTTTACATATGACTTAAAGGTGCTTTTAGATGAATGTATAAATTGTGAAAGCATACTTCGACACGCTGTGCCAATATCCATTTCCTAGTTGATTACAATGCTCTTGAAGACGATGAGCATCCACAAGTGGTTTTGTAAGAAAATCATTGTGAAAAATAACATCTGTATAAATCGCTTTTGCTGAAATATTCTTAGTAATTTTCACAATTTTAATGCACAATTAAAAATTTCTTATACTTTGTCTACAAAGAAATCCAGATGGGGAAGGGGGGACTTTGGAATCGCCAGGGGCCCTGGGAAAGCTTGATCCACCCCCCTGCTTACCCCATCTATCTTACCAATGATCTTATCCTGCAGTTTTTAGATGAAAATACCAAACGTGGCTAGATTGAGAATGTTCTTGACGAGTCCCAGGGGGCATGCATCACTGAGAAATTTTTGATTTCGTAAAACAGTGAATCAAATGACAAATAACCAAGTTGTCGTTTAACTTTAACCACTTCAACCCAAGCAACTTCAATTCAGATGGTTGGACTGCGAACTTCTGTTTAGCAAAGGACTGTATATGGATGACGTCAGACGACTTTGCTCTTTTTAATCGAGTATATTAGAAGTTAAAATTGCTTAAAAAAGAGCAAATACCATGGTGAATGGTTAAAATAATAACGTAATAGTTCTTAAAAGAACTGTTTAAAACCAGAACACTAACCCTACAATTCTAAAACAACTGTTTTTAAAGCTGAAAGACACTGTGCATTTAGGCAGACTACTCATCAGAGAAAAAACACCAAAATAAAAACTTACAGGCAATATAAACATTTACTTTCTTTGTGTGTCAGCAGTATTAGCTACGATAGTAAATGTGTAAACACAACTGTTTGATCGACATTCTTTAACATCAGAGTTTCAGGTTCAAAAACTTAAAATGTTAAAGGTGATGAATCGTATCGCGGTTCACCATTACCAGTTATCGTTGCAAGTCGTTGAGCAGCAGTAGCACCACGAGGGATAAAGGACCAAACACGCGCAATTATGGATGAGGTCACATTAAATCTCCATATTGTGAGAAGATCCGGGTAAAAATACAAATCTTTGACTAACCAGGTGGAGATATTATTGAACCTAAATTTATCAATTGGATATTGCTACATCAAAATTAAATCATTTGTGGAAAAAACATAGATGCACAGAATTGAAGTTTTTGTTATTGGTCACAAATACCAAACATTTCTGCAATTGATGGAACGGCTGTGAATATTGTCCTCTGATGAGCATAACTGAGATGTTTGTTTGCTGAAAACTACCATTGATGTTTATGGAATTAAAGCATTGTTTACACGAAGCAAGGATAGCACTATCCATTGTGCAGTGACTCAAACGTTAAAATTTTGTTCACTAAATTGTTTTAAATTGCAGTTTGCTGTCTTCCTAGAAATTTTTAAATTAAAAAATTTCTATTACCGCCCAAGCTTGCTGAAACAAAGCCACTCGATGTTAGCTTGCCTTTGGGGCTAGGTCAAACCTCACATCTACAGTAGACACGAAAATAAAGAAGCAAAAATAATAATGATCACGAAATTGTTTTATTCGTAAACATCCCTTACACTAATGCATATGAAATCATTCAATCGTAAAGAAGCAATTTAAAGAGTTTTCCATCACACTCCTTGAAATTGCTTGATTTTTCTATCTAATTTCTACACTTAATATCTATGTAAATAAAAGTTTAAATGGATTAACCATGATCAATAAAATAATAAAAGTAAAACTAAGATTAAAACAATATTCTATTCAAAATGCTGTGTTAAAGTCAGTGTGTAATGTTGTTGCCTTATAAAGGCAAGTAAAATACACATTCAGAAAAAAAAGCATATATGCCAAGATTCAAGTTTGTTCATGGCAAAAGATTATGTACACAGACACAATCATAAAGTGTTCGGTTTAATACTGTTTAGAGATCAAATCTAGATTATACAACGAAGAACAAAATAAAACTTTATAAATGTAGTAACAGTCTTTACGTACTCTTGTTTTATTAACGACGATCGCCAGTTCTAAAGGAAATTTATAATAAGATTAAACTACCGTAATAAGAGAAAGAAAAACATGTTTTTGGCATTTTTTAAAAAAATATTCAATAAATGAATCTATTTTTACTTTTTTCTTCAACCATCAATTAATGACGTCGAGCTTTGTGGATCTTTTCCAAAAGATAAAACTTACTATTCCTTCTTTTCATCGCCTTCTTTGTCACCGCCTTTCTTGTCGTCTTTTTTCTCGACAGGTGCCAGTTTACTCATATCAATACTGGCGCATTCAGTTGGTGCAGGACGATTTTGGGCCGGGTTTTTTTAAGGGACATCTTTTAAATCAAGTGAGGAGTATAACTACAGAAAAAATACGTATATATTGTCATTACAAACATTGTTTTTTTCTAATATGTTTGAGCACTCTGGTTACAAAACAATCCATACAATGTGTAAACGTACATCCTGTGTCCCAAGTGCAGGAGTCACCATTTTACTATGGTGATAGCCAGGAGGGCACATTGTTATACACTTTGTATATATTTTATCATATATACATATGATGATAAAATATAAGTAGGTTTTTTAATCATCGTAAATGATCTAATAAACCCGTGACGTTAAATAAATTCCATAGCAATTCGAGAGAGGGGAAGGACGTTCAGTTGACACGAGTAGTGAAATAGAGAGAGACGTTTACATCATTTTCTATCACCTTATTGTGAGCAAAACAGAAACAAAGCCAAGACTAAATATACGGTTTCTTAGCCCAATCGATAACACAATTTAAATTATGACAATGTGCCGGGTTTGTCTATTGCAGACTAAGCGCTTATTAGAGACACTCGTCTAATATAAAATCAAGTTTCAATGAAGCAATTCGTATGTATTGTTTTTAAGTGTGTTTACAGGTCTTTGAGAATCAATTACTGCTAAATAATAATAATTCTAAATATCGGGTGTTTTCACATACGAAAAGTCTTTTTACCCCCCCCCCTGCATAATCCCATGATGCATTCAAATTAATCATCGCCATAATCCAACTAAAACAAAATAAATGCACAAATTTTATTTATAAATAATAAATGACAAATATCCACAACAAACCGGATTACCTTCTCTGTTTTCTCTATCAATCGAGGCATAAACAGGTGGTGGTGCTTTACTTGTTGATGGTTTACTTTCATCACTTGTTGATGGATTATTTACTGTTTCATATTGATTACCAACAGATTCATAAGCATTTTCTCTAAGTTCTCCAGCCACTTCGTAATGATTGGGTTGTGCATTATTAGCTCCTGCTAATGGTTCAACACCATTTTCACCGCTGCAACATTAACAACCATGATTAAATTTTGTACACGATATGGACGAAACGAAAAAAATATAGATACAACATTAATACAACACTTCGTTCTGTACGAAAAACAACAGCTTCTCTAACTTGCTCAAACCATGAAAATATTTTATTCAAAAGATGAGAAACAGTAAAGACATTAACATCACATATTACACAAAGAAAATTAAAATGAATAATTCACTTACTGGTATCCTTTTTCTACAATAAACATAACACAAAAGTAGATACTTAATAATTAGTAATACGACAGCAGAAAATGACAACAACTATAATGGCGACAAGGAAAACCGCTCCAACAGCAATGCCAACAATCAGAGCAATATTTGGTCCATCATCATCATCATCTTTAACTGTAGAATTATTGTTGCCATTATCTTTGCTTGTAGAAGTATTTTGGCTAACTTAAATAAAGAGTTGTGAACTTTGATAAATTTTATCAAACAGTCTTCTTGACGACCCCACCAAATTCAAACATTAATCAATAGCTTTTTAAATAGGTCTAGCAAATAGTTTGAAATAGCCAGAATGAAACAATGCGATATGCAAAAAAAAAATAAAATTCACAATACACACTAAAGTTAGTGTTAGGTCATACGTAAATTGATAAATTAATAAAAAAAATTTAAAAAACAAATGGTTAGACACACTCTCCAAGAATGATTGTTCCATATTAAAGAATTAAAGAAAAAAACGTTAAAAAAGTTACCGTTATTAGTGGGAGTGGAACTAATTGATGACGTAAAGGTAAACGTCATCGATGACGTAATTATCGACAGCGATAGACTGAATGAGCTTGATATAGGAGCTAGCACAATTACAAAAATTGTTCAAATGAGAATGATTCCAATATTGAAATTCCTTCAATATTGAAATGCGTGCCAAAAATCGTGAAAATTTGCTAGTTTAAAATTCCAGTCATTTAAGCAATTCACGCCAAGTAATCTATGTAAATTAATGTACTCTAGGCAATTTACGTTTATAAACACTTTAATGATTATACTGGGGAATACAGATGAGTTAAACATATTTTTACTGATAGTCATTGAAGAATATATATACATACGAAAAAATGTTATGGTTAATGCAGCATGCAGACATTGCCAGTCTTTGTTTTACCACACGAGCCAGTAAAAAGTTATGTAATCAGAGCAATCTTCGTTGTTTACTGAAATTTTATTGTTATAAGGGTATTCAAGTGCATTCAAGAAGTCTAATGCTACTTATAATAAGATAAACATCGGTCTTTCACCTTTTGCTACCAAGAAAGTTCGTACATAATGCAAAATAAAAGTCCAACAAGTGATAAACTGAGGTTCTTAATTTTACCTTCGTTAACAACAGTGAGAGGTTGAAAATCAGACCAATCATTTCCCAGTTTATTCTTTGCTTCACAACGATATGAGCCAGCGTTATTGAAGTTGACAGATTGAATGATGTATGTCTTTTGATTGCTGATAACTGCACCATTATGATGAATAATGAAGGTTGGCGGAGGAAAACCATCTGATACGCAGGATTTAGTCACACTTTCACCAATTTGTGGATTTATATTTGATATGATTATGTTCGTATTTCTTGGTTGATCTAAAATTTAAATTCAAAATTCTACGTATTTGACAATTTGAAAACTTTATTGCAAAAGTACTAAATATATAAGTTCGCAACTTACAATTCACTATTATTTCAATGGATTTTTCGTCAATGAAACGTGGATCATTAAAACTTTCAGCTTTACATTTGTAACTTCCACGATCATTTGGTGAGGCACCAGTGATTACTAAAGTCGCACTTTCAACTCCAAATCCACGAACTGTTGTGCTATCTTTATCAAACCATGTGACATTAGCAGGAGGGTTACCTCCTTCACCTCTACATACACATGACACATTGTCACCTTCATTCACAAACAGAGGAGATGAACAGTCAATCGACACTGTTGGTTTAACTGAAATTAAAGACAGAATCATAATAATAGTCATGATAGAAACAATAGGGTATTTATTTGTAAGCGTCAGTGAGACAGGGGTAAAAACCGGAAGAGGAATGTCGCATCTGTAAAGAATAAAATTTATTGTTGTATGTGCTGTGTATGTCAAACTTCATTTGAAAATAGTACTGTAAACTAATTTCTTACAGAATGAAGAAATATACCTACTTTCTTTGCTTAAAAAGACATCGTAGTCGCGACTACGAATTTTTTACAAAACATCGTACTCAGATTGATGACGGCTACGTGTTTTTGTTGTCGCAACAATGTTTTCGCGCCAAAATGACGTAAATCGTACTCGTAGTCTTTGCTAAAGCTCCCTATTATCGCAAAATTTCATTTGACTGCTCTCCTTATCTGAGTTGCTAATACACAATTTAATTCATACTTTTATAATCCACCAATAACATGGGCCACATGACGGCCCAAACAACCGCTAAATCTTAAAACACTAGTATGAAGCAGGGGCTGAAGGCATATGGAATTATGGAAAAAACACCGGCACACGCTATGTCGTTAACCATTTACGGTTGCACATCGTTTGAATATTTTTTAGTTCCCACAAACGATATACGCTGCACCCCCTGGTCTATTTTTATCTACAATTCTAACCCAAATACTGTGGTGTTGCAGGGGTGGACTGACCTGTTCATGACTTATTAGGAAAACTCAGAAAGGGGTACTTGTTTGTAGCAAGTAGCCATTTGTAAGGGGAGAGGCTGAAGTGCATGTGCTGTTATATCGAGTATAAGTTATTGACAGCTACTTGGCTATACCAAGTTAAGGCGAGAACTCAAATGAACTACATAACTAATAAAACGAAAAATAAGATTTTGAGGATTTTGTTCTTTGAGAACTGCATGATGTTCCCAGCACTAGGCTAGTCCATATCACTTGCTTGCACCATTGAACAAAATGTTTTGACGTAAAATACTATGCTAGAAGTAACAAAAAAGCTTTTAGGCTAACAAATTGTAAGAAATTGGGAAGTTTACTAATACACGTTGATGCTTTTGCATTTTGTCATTGTAGCAATACTATCTTTATCCTGTTGTACTTTAATAGGCTTGCCAGTGTTTTATTTACTATTTTCCGGAAAAAGGGCCAACGCAAAAGAGCATATGAATGCCTGGAGCACCGGGAAACTTCCGGGTGTCTTAATAGGCCAGTCTGCCTCTGTGATTTTGTAAATTTTTGGATTGCAAGCTACCTCACAGTCGCCATGCTGGATAATTTTAACAAAGGACTTTCCTTATTTACAATGTAAATTTCATCCAACATGGCGAGCATCCCATTTTTCTCTTACTCCCAGGGGGATGGTTGTAACCCACCAATAAATACGTTCGGCAAACTGCTTATATATAGCTACATTACTTTATAAACCATGCACAAGTAATGCCCTTCATGATAAAGTGGAGGAAACTCTGAACTTTCAAAGAACAGAAAATTAGTTATCCTGCTTTCTTTGTTTACTATAAAAATGGCCGTTGAGTTTGCAATTCAATTTTACAAAAGTGCTTACAAATAAAGAAACTAGATGTACACCGCACTTGACCAACATTTTAGATGAAACAACTCCATTAATTTGACATATCTGAGTGCGGTTTGTCAAGTAAGATGTCAATAAAAATAAAGCATTTCCGTTTATGCCATACAGTTTAAATTTATTTAGTAAAATTTTTACGATCAACAGTGTCGAAAGCCTTTTTTAAGTCAATGAACACAACAAGGTTGAATAATTTTTGTCAATATTTATATACCAGCTATTGGTACAATCTAGTAAGGCTGTAGCTGTTGAATGATGCTTTCGGAAGCCAAATTGGGAGTCACGTAGTAAGTGAAATTTCGTTAAGTGATCATAAAGTTAGTCGTATAAAATGCTCTCCATAATTTTGCTGACTGCCGGTAAAACAGAAATCGGTCTGTAGTTGGTTGGCAAATTTTTTTGGCCGTTTTTGAACAATGGAATAAGTCTAGCAATTTTCCAATTATTAGGAAAGTTACAAGATGTAATAGAATGGTGAAATACTAATGTCAATGAGTCAGCAATAATGGGCGCAGCTAATGGAAATTTTGTCAATACCAGTAGATTTTTTATAGGAGAGACTACATAACATTTGATAGTTTACTTTTGGTTACAGGTTGAAAATTTGAAAATTCCGATTTGGGATTTTTTATAAACTCTTGAAAGTTACAATTTAATGAGTCAAGTTTTTCAGTCAATTCAGACGCAATTTTTGAAAAATATAGATTGAAACCCTCAGCAATATCCTCGGTGTTTGTCAGATTGATGCCATCTATACTTAACTCATTGACATTAACCCATCTGTTTTGACTGCCCAATAGATGGTTGATTGTTTTCCAAGTCTCTTTTGGTTTGTTCTTTAGACCAGCAATTGTGCTTCCATAATAATTTTGTTTAGCTTTTCTCACTTCTATGTTAACTTTATTCCTTAGTTGCTTGAACATATTACAATCAGTTTCATTCTTGTTTATGATAGCTTTTCTCTTGAATGCATTTCTGTCAATAATAAGCTGTTTAATGTACCTTGTAACCCAAGGTACATTTTTGGATTTGATTTTCTTATGTTGTATAGGAGGTAAGCATTCAGTTGGGACTGAGTTGACTGAGGCATACTTCCATTGACGGTGTGCTTACTGTCGGAGCTACGTGACTTTCTTTGTGGGATTTATCGGGGAGATTTCCAAATCTATTTACTGGAGGAAGAGGATTAGTTGTTGGTTTTTGATGATTGGTCTTGGGTTGATTCTTAGGATTGACATCTATCCAAGCATTTTGATTGTTATCAAGGAGAGACAAGATTCGATTGTTGTCTTCTCTTAGCATGCTAATAAAAAATTTCAAATGGTCAATCTCGACTGCCATTTTCGCGTTGTCGACTAGAAGGACGGTTTTTTCGATATCATCGTTTTCAATTTTTCTTCTAAAATACGTTGACAATTAAGGATTTGGTCGACTTTACTTACATTATCGACGATGTCTAACTCTTCTGAAACAATTTTGTCTGTGCTGGGTAACGTTAAAACAAATGTCTCGACATCAAACATGTGTGCGCGAATATTTGGTTCTTTATCATTAGGTTCGATGCACTTTTCAATTTCTTTCGTCTTGTTTAAGTTATTTTTGGCATATCTTTCTGATGGAATATCTTTTTCTTTGGTTTCATGTGTGTTTGGCAATTTCAGAATCAAGCCTTTAACATCAGCATCTGTAAGCGTGGATAGACTGTTCTTTGTTCGGTGAGACATAATAGTGATATTACCAGTTGATCAATTGATATCAAATATTATACCACAAAAATCGAAAGTGGTATCAATAACTAATTTTTTGTCTTATACTCAAATGTAATAAAATATGTGATACAAGTGCTTGCACTTTAACATAGATTATTCAAATCAAAAGATACCCTATAATTTCCTTTTTAAATTAAAACAGAACAAAACAAGTCTTCGCATTTGTCTTCGCTCAACGGCTCAAGTATTTAGCTATAGGATTCCAGACTGCGGTCATATATCGTATAATTACGCCCGATGCTACAGCTACTCAGATTACATGAAAGGCTTGGATAACCCCGCTGCTAAGTTTAAAATAATTAATACAACTTACTTGCAATAGACACTTTAACAGATGAGCCAAAGGGATCAGGAGCGTTGATAGAAAATTTATAAACACCAATGTAACTTTGATTAACCTTTTTTAATATTAGAGTTGCAGGTTTATAAACTTCAACATCTAAACCAAAAGACTTAAGGACTGATGTACGATAATCTGGTTCTTCATCATCAATTATTGTTACAATTACTTGAGCTGCAGAAGAAGGAGTGTCAAATGTCCTAAAGGTCCAACTCCGAAAAAGAAAGTTTTCAATCTTATTTAATGTCCAAGTTATATTGTGAGAAGATCCAGGCAAAAATACAAATTTTTGACCATCATGTGGAGATATTAATATTCCTGAAATTGAAATTTAGCTAATATCTATGACTGATAAAAAGATATTTTAGGGAAAAAATACATCTTCTACTAACATAACAAAAGTAATTGATGTTCTTAATTCAGGTTCTATTTAAAAATTGTGAATAAAAAAATAAACTAATTAAATATTACTACAACAACAACTAAAAATACATCAAAAATCATTTAAGTAAAAAAAAGAAATGGATATTTGAAGTTAAATACCTTTGGCAAGACCAAGAAATGTGATCAATGTAACAGTCGAAAATACTAAATTTGTCTTAACCATTTTCACTAAAAAATTATAAGATGAATTTTAATGCTTATGATCTTTGAAAATAAAATCATGAGTTAACATGGTTAGTGCTGTGAAAATTCCAGTTTTTCAGCTGCAGCTTGTCAAGTCTGAACTGGTAAAAATAGTCGGCGCTGCGGCCCATCTCCGGTGTACAGAACTAAACATGGTGCATCAAAATAAATAGTAATTTCTACTCGTAAATGGGAAACATTTTGCGTAGCAATATGTTCCATTAATTCTACCACAGAAATATCTTTATCATTGCAATAAATTTTTTGTGTTTTAATTTGCTTTATAAAATAAAAACAGTAAAACATGTGCGCTGATTGGTCAAAGCCTGAGTTTGCATTAGCCTGTGTAAATCGATCGTAGCTGAACCTCAATCAATTAAAGAGATTTTGTGAGCCATTCACTAATACACTTTGTGGAAAATTAAAATGCAAACCTTGAAAATTTTATGCAAACCTCGGAGATCTTTATGAGAACGCTCAAGCAAGAGCAAAACCTGATTTGCACTGATCAACTCTTAAGTTCTCCAAAAGGTCTCTTCAGTTTACCTAAGCCTGTGCAAACATGGTAAACATTTTTCTTTCTTGAATTCATTGGGAAAGCATAGGATGAACATAAATACTGTTTCCAAAAGATTGTGAATCATTGGATACAATTACATCTCACATTACAATTATCATATGTGACCAGTGACATATCTTTAGTTCTGCTATGCAAATTATACACGAGTTCACTAGCTGTAAAAACAATAGATTTCAAACAAATGAACAATGACAATGATCTGAAATTTGCATAGCACAACCAAATTTGCAGGCTAACTTTCCTAATGTTCTTAACAGAATAAACTTGAAATTTAAATCATTTAACTATGCTATTAAAGACGATACACAAACTACAAAAAAAACATTGGTTATATATAAGGATTGACATTGCTTTAGCAAAATGAACTTTAGGAAAAGACAGTTAGCTGTACAGGAAAGTAATTTTGTGTAATTCGTAAATAATAGTGAACAGAAATTCTTCTCTTTTCAACCAAATTGCTTTAATTTTGAATGAATTTTTACCTTTTACTAACTGTTTGTAACTACTGCAACTGGAAGTTAATTTAGTTTTCAACTCGGTCCACAGAAAAGCCCACAAGCATAAATTTATTAGAGGATAAGAATTAATGTAGTTGTAAACTGTTTACGCATACTTTTACTATGTTTTAATGTTTTGTCAGTAGAATTTTCATACTATTGTCATTAAAGACTGTGTTGTGTATACTGTGCTGATGACTACCATACAATATAATCTAAGCATTAGCTCCACATAAACAAGACCCACCTATATAAGCCCAAGAAAGAAGGCATACAAAATTATATAAGTTCAAGGCTTATGGGCAAATGTTTACAGTATGATTCATGATAAAATATAGTGATTGTTAGGCCCATGCAGTGTGAAAATTAGCGGTGTGCAATGTGCAATTTGCACATCGTTTTAGCTAAAATGAAAACAATTGCACATCACTTTTTCAAACGACATGATAAAAACTTCTATTCAAACGGTACACGAAAAACACTGTTGTGAATCATATGAATTTGTTCACGTTTAAAAATATTAATTTAGCAATTAGCACTATATAATAATTAATGTAATATCGATTTGATTATGCCTCTAAAGAAACACTTTTGTCAAAAAAAAATTGCACATCGTTTTTTTTTTTGAACTAATTCGCACACTGGGCCCATGGAGGTAGGGTAACCCTACCAGAAGGGTTACATTAGCAAGCAAGTTACCCAACGTGAAATTGCTTTATATGTAGCATTTACATGTGTGCTAGGGTAACCCTGACGGTTAGGGTTTCCATATCAAATTGATAAGGTTAGCACAATAGTTGGATTATGATATTTTTATTTCATAAACCATAAAAATGTTTGAGATAAGGTAATCCCTTTCAGTAGGGCTATGTTCACATCATATCTACTCAACATATTTGCATATCAGGGAAAATAAATTGCTTCGCGAGCATAAAATTATACACAAGATGCACTACATGACTTTACAGAGACAAACAATAAAACTAGAGCCCATCCACCATCTACAAGGAAGTTGTCGAGATGGCAAAGAAGGTTGACACAGACCTGTCAATGGTAGAGTCACTCTACACAAAAAGATAGCCTTGCAAGTATGGTTACACTATTCCCATGTAAACAGGCCCTTATTAGTTTGGTAACTAAACAATACAACAGGAAGTACAGAAATATTTTCATAAATCAAAGAAGAAATGAATCCCAACATACTCATTTAGTATTTAATGTAGTGTTTCGTCTTGGTCTTTTAAAATTATGAAATTCAAAATGCATCAAAATTCTTAAAAAGTTTTGTTTGAAGCGACGTTAAGGTAAAGAGATCTTCATCAAAGCATATCAATACAAAAAGCTGTTGTATTTTAACGTATACACTTGTGCACCATATTATTGAAGGTTTTCTCGAATTCAGACTAAAGCCTGGGCCACACTATCGTCTATTTTGACGAAAACGAAAACGAAACGAAAATTCGTGCACGAAATGCATGCCAGACACGACGAAAAATTACAAGCATGTTTGCAAAGCCAAAACTTTTTTGGCCTATAAGCAAGCGGCGTTTTTGACAGATTAGAAAAAATGGCGATCTCTAAAAGAAAAAGATTACTTTTTCTTAAGAAAAAGTTACTGCTTTTAAAGTTGAAAACAAGCAACAGCAAACGTCGATACTGGATTCATCCAATTAATAAACGACGTGATCGTCTTGGACTATTTAACAACTTGATTAAAGAATTACGAGAGCCGAACAATGAAAATAGACACAAGGTTAAATAGTTGGAATGTTATTAAACAAAAAGAATGATAGCACAGCGCTATAACCAACAACTACAAACAATAACGACCTTATCTAACAACATTTGAGAAATTAACCTTCCACTCCTCTTCCTTGTAAACCAGACAAGTCTACTATAAAGCAAAGAGCCTTATACGCTACAAGTCCCGGGCTTGTGACCGGTATAGCAGAGTTAAAAGGTGAAAGGTTGATCATAGATTAATCAACTGAATATTCCTGCTCATTTTTTGTTTGGAAGCATGTTGAACAGTTCATATGGACAAAGCTCGAATTCCATATTAAATATCAGTAACATAATCCGGTGTTAATGTTAGACAATACATCATTGCCCTTCAGTGAAAGCATCCCGCTTTCCACTGGAAAAGAATGAATCTAATATCGATGTTAAACATAGATTCTTACAAGCATCAGTGATTATACTTGTGATTATACTTATACATATCGGCAAGCGGGATGCTTGTAAGAATCTATGTTTAACATCGATAGTAGATTCTTTTCCAGTGGAAAGCGGGATGCTTTCACTGAAGGGCAATGATGTATTGTCTAACATTAACACCGGATTATGTTACTGATATTTAATATGGAATTCGAGCTTTGTCCATATGAGCTGTTCAACATGCTTCAAACAAAAATGAGCAGGAATATTCAGTTGATTAATCTATGATAAACCTTTCACCTTTTAACTCTGCTATGTGCTCTGCTTTATAGTAGACTTGTCTGGTTTAAGGGAAGAGAGGAAGGTTAATCTCAAATGTTGTTAGATAAGGTCGTTATTGTTTGTAGTTGTTGGTTATATGAAAATAGACACATGAAATACTTGCGAATGACGACGACAAATTTTGACTACATTTTGGATTTAATTAGACCTCACATCACTAAGTTGGCACACATCTTAGAAAGTCTATTAGCCCTGATTTATCAAAACCTCTTGCCACTCCGCCATGTTTGAGTACAAAGTCTGATATTATTAGCCAATAGTATGCGTTTTCGTAAACGAAAAAGGTCAAAAGTTTAATTCTTCTCATATGCACGAAAACGAAATTTTCGTCGAGTTTTCGTTCAAAATTTTCGTTGCGGCAGTTTTCGTTCTGATTTTCGTCGATATGGACGATAGTGTGGCCTAGGCTTAAAACTTATTTTCTTTCACAAACACAATTTTAGTATTGGCTAATTTTAGTTTGAACTAAGAATTCTCGATAAGAGATTCGTTTCAATAGCGCCTGTCGAATGCCATGAATATTTACGCCAAAACTTTACAGCAAAACAATATTTTCATTCAAGACAACAAGGACAAGTACGTTTTTCCACTAAAAATACAGCAAAATGTAACATACCCATGTAATTTGGTTTTCTTCAGTGAGAATTTCAGAGAGACTCAATTTCCTGCTTCACAACGTATGACGTACGTGAAGTTATGTATGGCAAGCCAAACAAAAGTGTATCGAGAATTCCAACCACTTGTCGAGAATCATAAGTGACATATGAGAAGGCAAGCACGTGTTTAGAAAATCAACCATACGTCGAGATTTCTGACTGGCAAACTGGACAGCGGTTGCGAAACGTATATTATAAATACTTCGTGCCATCCATATAACATAACATGGTCTTCAGGAAACAATGGCTGAAGAAAAAACTACCGTGAAATTGGCACCACATTGGGCACCACAATCAACACAACATTCATCACATTATTCATCACCACATTCAACTAAAATTTATCATTCAAAATGATAAATGGAAAAATCGTCTTTAAAACACGTTTTCCATCAAATACAACAGTAAAAAACATTTCTTAACTGTTTATTACTATTTTACTATCCTTAACCATCACAAAGAAAGTATAAAAGTCAAAAAATTGAACAAAACACTAAACTTTAGGTTACAGTGTACTTTTCATTTCCCTTAATTAGCGTATAATTTAAAAACTACACGGTAGAAATTTTTTAAACTTGGCCAGAATATAGATAATTATATTGTCTAAAATATATCAAAAATCTGCAGAGTGCACAAAAAAATAAGTTGCAGAAAATCATCGGCAAAGTCGGATTACAAGTTTACGCGTAATATAATCTAATATAATTAACTTCCTATATCCAGGTAACTTTGCAAACAAAGGCCTATAAATAAAAAACTACACGGTAGAATTTTTTTAAACTCGGTCATATTGTAGATATTTTTATTGCCTAAAATATATCCAAAATATCGTAAAACAAGATTTTTTCGTTTTGTACTTTGCGGAAGTACTAACGTACTTTCCACTATGATACGAAACGGGCAACTTCTTAATCCACAGAAAACTCAGTGAAATGTCAATGAAATTATTTACAAATGGACTAATCAGTCAATTTTTGATAACATATTAAATGAACGGTGTGAGACTTAACACATTTCTTGAATAAATCGGCTAATTTACTCTTTTAAAATTATTTCCGGGTCCATGGTGTGCAAATATTTATTTCTTTGTTCATCGTCAAAATTGTATAAAGGCCAGTTAGGCCAATGAAGTTCATTTTCGTATTCTCACTATTTTGTGTAACATTGCATAGTACATGTTGTCTTTATGATTAAAACCATAGATATTATATATAAATTATAAAACATAATGACCGAAGAAGGTTGTATAACCAGACTACTGAACCAGACCCGAATACAAAGGATGGGGTGCTACTTCTTGGTGTGCAAGTGCAACCGCCATGTTGCATGATTTTAATAAAGGATTTTTCTTATTTACCACACATAATTCATCCAACATGGCGAGCATTTCATTTTTCTCTTACTCCCATAGAATTGATGCACACCCACCTCATAGTAAAAAAATATTTACAGCTGTTTCTTGGGTTGGGGATGCCCAGAGACCCATCTAGCTAAGACAAGACGAGACGAAACTAGACTAGAACACTAATTGTGAGGGAGGGTGAATATTCATGTACTAAGCTCTTTCCTGCTACTTTCTTTTGTTGGCGATTTTAATTTCAAAAGATATCATGGGCCGGTTGCACGAAGCCTAGATAGCAATTTTTTCAAACTTTTATAAAACCTTTTAAAAAGCAAAAAATATAAAATTCGAACTGAGCACTCACTGAAAAGTCTGAAATAAATATTGTTTCGAAGATTATAAAATTTCTTTGTCGTAAGTAAAATATAAACACCTTTTTTACAAATTTGAAAATTTTTGCTATCCAATGGATAGCGCTATCCAGGCTTTGTGCAACTGGCCCCAGCAGGGCAGTGCTGAATATATGAATATTCTCCTACCCTCACTTTATAAAAGAAAAATAAAAAAATGGAATACTTGCCTTTAGCCGATACTACAAGGTCAATATTAACACTAAGCTTCAAAGGATTGGACACAGCACTGGGGGAAGGCTTAGCCCACAACAGAATCTAACCAAAAGTTTTTGCCATTCTTTGCGAATGCTCCATTACTTAATAACTGCTGACTAAAATATCAAAGAAAAACATCTTTAGGCCTTTGAATGTAAATGTATTATAAAGTTAAAGTTATTGCTCTTGTTGTTTTAGCATTCAAATCGACAATGAAATATCAAAACGTTAACAATTTTATTGTTGCTCCCGAATGATGGAGGTTTTTGTACGTCTGGAGCATTGCGATATTAGACACTTGGGATTCTCCACTACATTTGTTTATATTTCAAGTATTAAGACGTTAAATTTTTTAAAGGTCCCCACATTTTTGAGGCTCTCTTTGTGTTGTCGTGTATTAAAATGAGACCACTGTATTGGCGCTCCATAGTAGATCACTAAAGGTGTTCTTAACTATCCAAATGGTCATCTCTTAACTAGATGGGTCTCAAGGCATTCCCTAATCAAAGACAAATTTTGAAATTTACGATTTAGGTTCATCAGAAATAAGATTTTGTGCTTTTTCAGGGCCTTTTCGTGATCCTTTTCTAAACAATTTGGTATACACAGGAAACAAGTCAGGAAGGCAGGTGTACAGTAAGATAAATAGAAAATACTTATTCAAAAACAGTATTACCATACACTGTTATCAAAAACAACTAATGAATGAGTCAGAATGACCAGTGTACTTTCCTATCAAAAAATGGCTTCCTTCTGGAAATCATAAAGTACTAGCAGCTCAAAGGGAGGAAAACATGCAAAATTCAAATCTTATCAGAAAATGTAAATGTTCGTAAAAGCACCATTGTGACTTTACAACATGGAAAATGTTTATAAACACATGTTTAGAATAAATTTATGATTTTCTTCAAAACAAATTACTGTTCTCATAATTTCTTCTTTCGTCGGCTATCTCGTACTCCGATTCATTATTTTTTTGCCAAGATTCATAATTATTATCTTCTATATTCCTTTTCGATATGTCCAGTTCTTCATAAGTTGTATCAACTGTGTCATCCTTTGGTCTCAATGATTGATAATTATCTTCTTTATTATTCATTTTTGATAAATCCAATTCTTGATAAGTATTATCAACAGAATTTTTCCTAACTTCAGATGGACATTGAAATTGTTGACGTTTTTTATTAAACCAATGTTGACGATAACGCAAAAAAAATAAAATAGAGACGAAAATTCCAACGATAATTCCAGATGTTAAAGTTATTAAAATAATATACCATTTTGTTTTGCACTGTTTTATTCTCTCATTTTGGTCATCACAAAGAACGTTGTCTAGAGAAGAAGCATAGAACTTAAAAATATGGAAAAAAATCAAAAGAGTTTATTTGTATAGAATACTAAAATACATATGATAACAAGATTGGATCATTTCGATTGAGCAATGGATAGATTGAATTGAACATTTCCATTAAGTCTAAGGCAAAGGTCGAGATGTTAATTGCATTGTGTGGCTAGAGCTAAAGTTTGCTATAAAAGAGCGATTTGCTTAAATTTCTTTTAAGGATTTTTATCATCTCAGGTAGCGCATGCAAATTGAACAGAAAGAGCTAATAGTATTTTAAACATAAATATGATTTTATAGCATAGTAAATAAATTATCTTTTGTGTTGCAATCAGTAGATAAATATTTTGAAACGAGAAATGATGTTGGAGATACGTATGTTAACAAATTTACTGGTTGGAATTCTAGCCCAAACTTAAATGAAAAATGCTAAAATAGCTACACAGAAATCAACTCAAATTATTGGTTTGTTGTGGTGGATCTGTAAAGAATAAAATTAAATTCAATATTTTACACAAACGTTTATAATGAGATCTGAAATGCTGTCTTACAAACTTACAAGTAGCTTTCACTGTTACTTCAATAGATTTTTCATCTGTAAAACGTGGATCATTATAACTTTGTGCTTTACATGTGTAATTTCCACCATCATTCAATGTAACATTAGTAATTACTAATGTCTTACTTACAACTCCAACATCACCAATTATGTTGTTATTTTTATCAAACCATGTGACATTAGCAGGAGGGATACCTCCTTCACCTCTACATACACATGACACATTATCACCTTCATTCACAACCAGAGGAGTTGAACAATTAATTACCACATCTGGTTTAACTGAAATTAAAAACAGAAAATATTCCTTTCTTAATTTAATTATGAAAAAGAAAATTAATAATGAGAGTAGTCGTTAGTGTTATGTGCATTTTCTTAGGAGTATTGGATCGATGCCCTAAGCAGTCACAAGCCAGCAGGAAGCCCGTTTATCACTCGCTAAAAGTCCAGATCAGTGGAAATATTACACTAAACTGCTATCCAATGTGATTTTTTGCACTAAACCGCTGCATTATTAACCAATTTGCTTAATAAAAATTTCATTTGTAAAAAAGAGTTTGATGCTAGAAAAGAACAACAACATAACAATAATCACACAACTTTCAAGATGCATATTAATAATAAATTTTGAAACTTTGAAAGTCCATCGCGTGACCGACTAGACATAAACAATATTGACTTATTATGAAGCCTAAACAACTATCGTTGGTCTTCGAAGAACTATAAACAAATCATAGTCGTCTGAGGCTCTTGATAACCTATTTAATGAAAATATGCAATACGCAAAGTCAACAGCTAGGTGACGACAGATGCATACGTCAGCGCAGCAGGCAGCGAAAGGGGTATATGAGGCGTAGGCTTAAGAGTCAATCATAATTGGGAGTGGTAGTCTTTCAGCACAACGAATCTAAATCTCGCCAACAAGGAAAAATATATAACTATCTTCATTGTTTAGCACAATCTTGTACTATCGTGTACAAATGGGATGAAACTGAACAGTCGTAATTTGTTCATGTACAATGTAGAATACTAGCCCAAAAATTGATGAAGTAAAATTTTAATTTTACCTTTGATTATAGTAAGATTTTTAACATCAGATAAATCATTTCCCAGTTTATTTTTTGCTTCACAACGATATGAACCAGCGTGATTGAAGTTGACAGATTGAATGATGTATGTCTTATTATTGCTGATAACTGCACCATTATGATAAATAGTGTAGGTTGGTTCAGGATAACCATCTGATTCACAGGTTATTGTCACATTTTGACCTTTTTACTGACATTGGACTGATGGTAATATTGGTTTGTTGTGGTGGATCTGTAAAGAATAAAATTAAATTCAATATTCTACACAAACGTTTATAATGAGATCTGAAATGTTGTCTTACAAACTTACAAGTAGCTTTCACTGTTACTTCAATTGATTTTTCATCTCTAAAACGTGGATCATTATAACTTTGTGCTTTACATCTGTAATTTCCACCATCATTCACTGTAACATTAGTGATTACTAATGTCTTACTTACAACTCCAACATCATCAATTATGTTGTTATCTTTATCAAACCATGTGACATTAGCAGGAGGGTTACCTCCTTCACCTCTACATACACATGATACATTATCACCTTCATTGACAACCAGAGGATTTGAACAACTAATTAAAACATTTGGTTTCACTAAAAAAAGAGAAGATATCGCTTTATATAAGATGTCGGTCTAAGGCTTAAATCTTTCCGTCCCAGTCATGTAAAAGATGCATAATCAGTCATTAAAGACGGAAATTTACCATTACTCTTACAAAAAATTCAATTTTTATCCTTAATCCCTGAAGTGATCCCTCCAAAAAATATGAACACTAACCCATTTCATTTACGCATGATTTGGCTAATATTATGGAATGCCTTACTGTTACAAAACTGCTTAAAGATAAAATCAATGTACAACAATACGCATGAAAAGGCCACTGTACAACTGATGAAGATGAATTTAAAGCAATTGATGGTAGCTGCTCAACTTTTTTGTAGACTTTTGAAAAGGTTTCAATTCAATAGACCAAAATATTTTACAACATAAGTTGGAAAAATGAGCGTTTCTCCTGATCTTATTAAAAGGATTACAGCTTTTAAACTATAATTAAAAACAAGCTGTAAGAATTGGAGATGCTTTGTCTGAATGAAGAGCAATAATGGAAGAGGCACAAAGTTACGTATCATTTTTCATGTAATGTGATGAAAAAGAGATTTACAGCAGAGTGGCCTCTAAGAATCAAGTTTGTTAAAAACATTTTCATCCTCGAGATTTTACCAAAAAATTACCTACAGGATAATGAATATTCATGAATTTTTAGTAACAATGACATGAAACTAAGGGGCTGGTCATACGAGCTCGTAATATTTTTATAAATATTACAATTGCTTGTTAAGCACCACAAGTCTGTCATGTCGAAATTCTCAAAGAAGATTGATTGTTATAAAATTTCAAAATACAAATAAACTTGTCAGCAATTTTCAATAAGGCTGATTATTCAAGAAGCCAATCATGCTAACCAGTACTTTTTTTCATTTGAAAATATTTTTTCTGTTGGGAGAATACTCTGGCAGCAGTGATGATGATGGTGAGTTTGAAAATGTGAGTGGGAAAATCGATGATAGTGATGACAATGATGTTAACATGCTCCTAGCTTCAATGCGAACAAGTAAGCCGAGTTAGAGAAAAACTTTATTTTTGTGTCGGAAACTAGTGTAACATTTACTGGTCCAAACGTTGAAGCCCCAGTGAACATGGAAACAAAAACTCTTCTTCAATATTTTAAGCAATTTGTGAGTGGTGATATGCTTCAAAATTTGGTGACAAGCACCAATGAATACAGTGTCCAAAAGTCTGGAAACTCAATAAACGTTAATAAGAAAGAGATAGAACAACTCATTGGTATGTTTTTTCATATGGGCTTGTAAGGATGAGTGGAGTTCGACAGTATTGGGAATCTGCTACTGCACACAGTTCTGTTTGTGATGTCATGAGTCGTAATCAATTTCAGCTTTTGTTGAGAATGCTTCATTTTGTGAACAATTTGTTGGTATCTGACAATGACAAGAGAGACAAATTGTGGAAAATTCGACCATGGCTTGAAAAAATGAGAGAAAACTGCCTGAAACTAATTCCAGAAGAGCACAATTCAATTGATGAAATGATGTGTAAATACAGAGGAAGGACAAGTCCCATTCGACAATCTATCAAGAGTAAACCACATCCATGGGGATTCAAGGTCTGGTGTAGAGCAGGGGACAGTGGAATATTGTACGATTTTGATGTTTACCAAGGTGGAAATGGGAAAACCAGTGAATTGGGCCAAGGAGCCGATGTAGTACTAAAGCTGACCTCAACTTTAGCATACCATGCCAATTATAAAATTTATGCAGATAATTTGTTCACAAGTTTCAAACTTCTCCTGCAGCTAAAGGAGAGGGGAACGCATTATACTGGTACAGTACGAAAGAATCGATTGTCAGCATGTAACTTGAAAGAGGAAAAGATCTTGAAGAAGACGGGAAGAGGGTCTTATGATCACAGAGTTGAACAGAACAGCAACATTGTTGCGGTTCGTTGGTTTGACAATAAAGCTGTTACACTCTTTTCTACGCTTATTGGAATTGAGCCTATTATGTCAGCTGAGAGATGGGACAAAAAGAATGAACGAGTCAAATTGCCCATGCCAGCAGTTATTGATCAATACAACAAGCATGTGGGTGGAATTGATCTGCTTGATTCATTTCTTGCTCAATACCGTTTCAAGGTAAGATCACGCCGGTGGTACACATATCTGTATTGGCATTTTTTGATGGTGGCAATTGTAAATGCATGGAATTTATACTGGCGTGATCACAGATTGCTGGGACTTCCAATAAAGGAAATGATGAACCGTCGACACTTTCAGGCATCTGTTGCTTCATCGCTGGTGCATGTAAATTCAAAATAAAAGTAGGCCGACCATCACCGTCAAGCACTCCATCACCGTCAAGCACTCCATCACCAACCCGCAACAACCAAAGAAAAAACAGCGATTGCCTACTGCTGATATTCGTAAAGATGGCTACTGTCATTGGCCAAAGAAAAGTGAGAAACGTGGGCGGTGCAAACTTTGCATGAAAAACAACACAAACACTGTGTGTATGAAATGTAACGTTAGACTTTGTTTTGCTGAGGAACGTAATTGTTTCTATGATTTCCACCAGTGATAGCATTTCAAAAAACATATTTTTTTTCATTCTTAAAAACCTTGTTTTGTGTTGACTAAAAAAATTATACATTTTGCCCTGCTATTTGAGGTGCATATTCTTACAAACCATTTTGAAATGCATAAAGTTATCTTTTATGCCACAATTAGCTCGGTGTTACATATATACTTATTATGAGGCTAAAATAGAGGCTAAAATGGGACCTAACAAAAATTTTTTCCCCATTTCAGCAAGTAATGACTCCAAATGAGTAAAAACGTCAATGGAAATAGTTTTAGCTATAGAAAATCACATTGTGGGTTCTACAGAGTTAAAATGATCGATATAAATCATATTGTAATTATATTAAATGTTCAAATAAAAAAATACCAATTTCTAAAATTGATAAAAACACAAAATAATAAAAAAACAGGGATGACTTACTTGCAACGAAAACTCTGACTTTGGATATAAAAGGAGATAACAGACTGTCCTTTCTTGTTAATCGAAACTCATACGTTCCATCATAACTATGAGTGATATTTCTTAATTGCAGCGTTGAAGGTTTGTAGGCGTTATAATTTGGAGGAATTTGTGCACGTAACTTTATTACATTAAAGTTTTCAAAACAATGGCCAAAAGTGTTTGTGCATAACCATTACTACTACCAGTAAAATACCAATCTCTACTGTCCAAATCACTTTCTCTATCATTAAATGTCCACGTTATATTGTTGTTTCTCCAGGTAGAAATGTAAAACTTGTTCCAGAGGGAGGTGATTGAATAATTCCTATACATGACAAGAAATAAAAGATAAATATATAAAATCTAATAACGTTTAATTCATTTTAATCCATTAAATATCAATTATTAAATGAAAACAGTAGCAAAGGATAGATAACAGAAACATATAAAACAAAATTAACATATAGAACAAGGATCACCCTAACTCCAATTTAAGGAAATTGCCATTTCAAGCGTAGGTGGCCCTCGGAAATTACCCCCGTGCCAAATTTATAAATTTATTTTCAGTGTCTAAAAATGAGGGCATTATGTCGTCATTGATAACAATTTATATTTTTCGGAAAAAATTCAAATATCAGAGCCTTTGCTAGCCGAGTAAAATAGTTTAGTGTTATAAAAAAGAGAAGTTGTTCCATTCCTGATGGCTTTGATGTTAGTTTAAAACTTAAAAGTAGTTACACATTCCTGGACATTTTTTTGCTTTTTTTTTGCTTGCTTTGAACTTCTTTAACTGTTTTCTTTAATTGTAACTAATTTTACAAGTAAAGGGATGAAAGAATTTTTTTCAATTTCAGTCACATTGATATCATATAGCTAGATGTGCACAATAAAAGGCACGTTTTGATTTCCAGAAGAGGCCCCGATGTGTCATGAGACAATGGCAAATAAGTCAGTCTGAGCCATTAAGAAACATAAGAAACATCTTATTAATCATAACAACGACTACCAAAGCTTAATGAGCATTAGGCTCTTCAAATAAACATACAAAGGCAGAGGAATTCAGGTTTTTGAAGGTGTTCCACAAAGACACCACACTTATAGAGAGAAAAATAATGACCTTGAAATAAACTATTGCAGTATTGCAATGATAATGTTGTTAAAGTGTAATCATTGTTACTATATATTTATACCAGCTGCTAAATTATTTAAGTCAGTATTCAACTACGCGTGAATTAATATTTTACACAGACAATGAAGAAGGTTACGCATAGTAGAATAGTGATGACATTAAGGCCTTGACGCAATATGTGGAGAAAATAACTCATTTCTTTAAGGTGAAAATATTGAAAATGAAGATAAAATCGCTCTATTTGTTAAGTCTTATGAAGGAAAACGTAGAAAGTTTGACGAGTTAAAAGACGTTGTGAATGTTTAGAAATTCAACACGGATGTAGGGGGATGAATTGATATCGATATCAGAATATTTCGAATTTGGTGTTCATTAGGTGTACTGTTAAGACATCGATTAGTCTAGGACCTATGACACAGAGGATATGTACCCCCTACATAGAAATAAACCACGCTAAAATTCAGACTCAAACTTAATAAGATTGTTTTGTTCCCATGAAAAACATGGTGAATACCGTCGCTCCTGAATAAATTTTCATGAAGTCTGTTACGCGAAATTTTCTTATTTTTATTACGTAAATGATTAATTTAATTTTCAATACTCTAATAAAAATTGTAGCATTTTTCATTTTGTGGATGAAAATTTATTTATTTATTTTAACTATTTTAGGAGGGTTCAAATCAGCTGAAGCACTGTACACAGAGACGTTTACTCACTGAACTAACGTTGGATGAAAATTACGCAAGAAATGAACACTCTTTGTCTTCTAAAATACTACCAGGTATTGCTTTTAAATTATTTCATTCAATGCAGAACTGATTATGGTCATTGTACACAAAATGAAGAATTAAGTGAGTATTTTAGTCAATATACCTTAAAATTCTAAGCAAATTCCACAGTTGTATTTGACAAAAATAACCATTTACTTCCTTAATGATCTAATAAAATAATAAATACCTTGACATGTTGAAATCCACCAGAACAAAACAAATGAAAGGAAGTCAAACTTTGCCATCTTGTATTCTGTCTATAAAGGTAAAGTGAAGATGCAACTTAAGTAAAATCACAGAACTGCTACAGAAATATATGATGTATTCCTTCATATTTTATGTATATTTTGATTTCCTATAACCATTAATATTGAAGGAAACAATCAGTCCAGAGCGATGTAACAGAGCGATCATATTTTATCAAAACCTGTCTCATGACAAGCCACACAAATTACCCAGAGTTGTTTTAAAAAAAGAATACCAGCCACACAATCTTTATTCTGTAATTTTATCCTTACATATGACTTAATGGTGCTTTTAGATGAATGTATAAATTGTGAAAGCATACTTCGACACGCTGTGCCAATATCCATTTCCTAGTTGATTATAATGCTCTTGAAGACGATGAGCATCCACAAGTGGATTTTGTAAGAAAATCATTGTGAAAAATAACATCTGTATAAATCGCTTTTGCTGAAATATTCTTAGTAATTTTCACAATTTTAATGCACAATTAAAAATTTCTTATACTTTGTCTACAAAGAATTCCAGATGGGGGGGGGGGACTTTGGAATCACCAAAGGCCCTGGGAAAGCTTGATCCGCCCCTTTTTACCACATCTATCCTACCAATGATCTTATCCTGCAGTTTTTAGATGAAAACACCAAACGTGGCTAGATTGAGAATGTTCTTGACGAGTCCCAGGGGGCATGCATCACTGAGAAATTTTTGATTTCGTAAAACAGTGAATCAAATGACAAATAACCAAGTTGTCCTTTAACTTTTACCACTTCAACCCATGCAAGCAACTTCAATTCAGATGGTTGGACTGCAAACTTCTGTTTAGCAAAGGACTGTACATGGATGACGTCAAAGGACTTTGCTCTTTTTAATCGGGTATAATAGAATTTAAGATTGTTTAAAAAAGAGCAAATACCATGGTGAATGGTCAAAATAATAACGTAACAGTTCTTAAAAGAACTGTTTAAAACCAGAACACTAAACTCAACAAGTCACCAAAACAAATTCAGAAATTAAAAGTACAAAAGTAATGTTCTATAATTTCTTTTAATCGTTGTATTTACATTGTTTTACCATTAGCTTAGAATCTTAAATGAAAGAAAATTTTACAAAATTTTAGTAAATATGGGGACAATATAGAATTGCAAATCCGGTTTAAAATAAAGCGTATTCACTCCCAAGTAAGACATTTGAATTTTACGAATCATTTCAGTGTAAGAAATAATTGAAAATCTGCATTCTGCGGTATATATATATTTAGGCTATCTTCTACCTTAGGCTATCCTGCTCATCTGTCATTGATTATCATTAAAGGTCAATGAATATTGCCCACTGATGAGCATAATTGAGATGTTCGCTCGCTGAAAACTACCATTACACGAAGCAAGGACAGCACTATCCATTGTGCAGTGACTCACACATTAAAATTTTGTTACATTTTGTTCACTAAATTGTTTCAATTGCAGTATGCTGTCTTCCTAGAAATTTTTAAATTAAAAATTGCTATTACCGCCCAAGCTTGCTGAAATAAAGCCACTCAATGTTAGCTTGTCTTTGGGGGTAGGTAAAATCTCACATCTACAGTAGACACGAAAATAAACAAGCAAAAATAATAATGATCACGAAATTGTTTTATTCGTAAACATCCCTTACACTAATGCATATGAAATCATTCAATCGTAAAGAAATAATTTAAAGAGTTTTCCATTACACTCCTTGAAATTGCTTGATTTTTCTATCGAATTTCTACACTTAATTTCTATGTAAATAAAAGTTTAAATGGTTTAACCATGATAATTAAAATAATAAAAGTAAAACTACGATTAAAACAATATTCTATTCAAAATGCTGCGTTAAAGTCAGTGTGTAATGTTGTTGCCTAATAAAGGCAAGTAAAATACATTCACAAACTGTAGCATAGATGCCAAGATTCAAGTTTGTTCATGGCAAACGATTATGTACACAGACACAATCATAAAGTATTCAGTTTAGTACTGTTTAGAGATCAAATCTAGATTATATAATGAAGAACAAAATAAAACTTTATAAATGTAGTAACAGTCTTTACGTACTCTTGTTTTATTAACGACGATCGCCAGTTCTAAAGGAAATTTATAATAAGATTAAACTACCATAATAAGAGAAAGAAAAACATGTTTTCGGCATTTTTTAAAAAAATATTCAACAAATGAATCAATTTTACTTTTTCTTCAACCATCAATGAATGACGTCGAGCTTTGTGGATCTTTTCCAAAAGATAAAACTTACTATTCCTTCTTTTCATCTCCTTCTTTGTCACCGCCTTTCTTGTCGTCTTTTTTCTCGACAGGTGCCAGTTTACTCATATCAATACTGGCGTATTCAGTTGGTGCAGGACGATTTTTGTCTGGCTTTCTTTTCAGCTCATCTTTAAAGTCAAGGTAGGAGTATAACTAAATAAAAACATACGTATATATTGTCATTGTATATGTATATTTTATCAGTTGAAGATTTGTAATCCAGAAATAATTCTTGTTAAAAATTGAAAGTTTCTCCGGATTGTAAATAGCTAATAACTTCATAAATTCTGAAGAAGGCAGGAAGCATCGAGTCGAAAACTCAATAAAATTATATATAAAAATCCAGAGAAACTTTCAATGTTTAACGATATATTTTATCATATATACATAAGGTGATAAAATATATATAGATTTTTATACATCGTAAATGACCTAATAAACACAGGACGTTAAATAAATGCAATAGCAGCCTAGAAAGGGAAGAAAAGGGTTAGGGGTTAGAGAAAGACGTTTACATCATTCTCTATCGCCATATTGTGAGCAAATAAAAACAAAATCAAGACTAAATATGCGGTTTCTTAGCCCAATCGATAACCCACTGTTAACAATAACAACGTGTGGGGTGCGACTATTGGAGTCAGGGCGTTTATTAGAGAGAACAGTCTAATATAAAATCAAGTTTCAATGAAGGAATTCGTATGTATTGTTTTCAATTGCGTTTACAGGTCTTTGGGGATCATGTATTGCTGAATTGTATAAATTCCAAATGTCGCAGGTGTTTTCAAATATGAGCAGTTTTTTTTAAACACCCTGCATAATCTCCATGATGCATTCAAAATCATCACCATAATCCAACTAAAACAAAATAAATGCACAAATTTTATTTATAAATAATAAATGACAAATATCCACAACAAACCGGATTTCCTTCTTTTCTCTATCAATCGAGGCATAAACAGGTGGTGGTGCTTTACTTGTTGATGGTTTACTTTCATCACTTGTTGATGGATTATTTACTGTTTCATATTGATTGCCAACAGATTCATAAGCATTTTCTCTAAGTCCTCCAGCAAGTTCATAATGAATGGGTTGTGCATTATTAGCTCCTGCTAATGGTTCAACACCATTTTCACCACTGCAACATTAACAACCATGATTAAATTTTGTACATGATATGGACGAAACGAAGAAAATATAGATACAACATTAATACAACAGTTCGTACTGTACGAAATACAACAGCTTCTCTAACTTGCTCAAACCATGAAAATATTTTATTCAAAAGATGAGAAACAAAAATACATTAACATCACATATCACACAAAGAAAATTAAAATGAATAATTCACTTACTGGTATCCTTTTTCTACAATAAACATAACACAAAATAGATACTTAATAATTTAGCATTATGATAACATATGATAACAAGATTGGAGCATTTTGATTGAGCATTGGATAGATTGAATTGAACATTTCCATTAAGTCTAAGGAAAAGGACGAGATGTTAATTGCATTGTGTGGCTAGAGCTAAAGTTTGCTATAAAAGAGCGATTTGCTTAAATTTTCTTTTAAGGATTTTTAGCATCTCAGGTAGCGCATGCAAAGTGAACAGAAAGAGCTAATAGTATTTTAAACATAAATATGATTTTAAAGCATTGTAAATAAATTACCTTTCGTGTTGCAATCAGTAGATGAATATCTTGACAAATGTTTAAATGACAAATGCTAAAATAGCTACACAGAAATCAACTCAAATTATAATGTCAAAGAGATGAAAATGCTGACAGAATACTGAATGACAGAAATATCTATTGAAAAAATGATAATAATCGACCAAAAGAACAAATCAAATGAAACAGTGAAACTCAACCTTTTTACCTTGGTTGACAGTGAAATTCTTAACATCAAATCTTTGCCCAGTGTAAACTTTGCTTCACAACGATAAAAAGAACGATAAAAAAGGCAAAATTTGATGCCACGGATCCGGGTGAAGCAGTCTGAGTCCATAGAGCACGCTCAGTAGCTGATTTACAATTTGAGTACGATCACAATTTTAGACGGCCAAACTACGACTAGCGTAAGAATGGCCATGTCCAAATCACTTACAAACAAGCGCAGAGCGCGCTAGTCAGTAAAAGTCCAGATTAGTGGAATTTTCCCACTAATTTGGTAACTAATGAGATTTTTGCCCGCTGCTTCATAAAGCAATTTACTTTATGAAGATTTTCATTTGTAAAAAAGACTTTTTTTACAATCTTGTACTATCGTGTACAAATGCAAGTCAATTGAAGATGAACATTGACAAGTCGTAAGTAATTCTGATTTACGTGCAAAGTAGGATACTATCTCAAAAATTGATAAAAGTGAGATTTTAATTTTACCTGTGATGATAGTAAGATTTTTAACATCAGATAAATCATTTCCCAGTTTATTCTTTGCTTCACAACGATATGAACCAGCGTTATTGAAGTTGACAGATTGAATAATGTATGTCTTATTATTACTGATAACTGCACCATTATGATAAATAGTGTAGGTTGGCTCAGGATAACCATCTGATTCACAGGTTATTGTCACAGTTTGACCTTGTTTAACTGACATTGGACTGATGGTGATATTGGTTTGTTGTGGTGGATCTGTATAGAATAAAATTAAATTCAATATTCGACACAAACGTTTATAATGAGATCTGAAATGCTGTCTTACAAACTTACAAGTAGCTTTCACTGTTACTTCAATAGATTTTTCATCTCTAAAACGTGGATCATTATAACTTTGTGCTTTACATGTGTAATTTCCACCATCATTCAATGTAACATTAGTGATTACTAATGTCTTATTTACAACTCCAACATCACCAATTATGTTGTTATCTTTATCAAACCATGTGACATTAGCAGGAGGGATACCTCCTTCACCTCTACATACACATGATACATTATCACCTTCATTCACAACCAGAGGTGTTGAACAATTAATTACCACATTTGGTTTCACTGAAATTAAAAACAGAAAATATTCCTTTCTTAAATTAGTTATGAAAAAGAAAATTAATAATGAGAGTATTCGTTAGTGTTAGGTGCATTTGCTTAGGAGTGTTGGATCGATACCCTAACCAGCCACAAGCCAGCAGTAAGCCCGCTTATCACTCGCTAAAAGTGCAGATCAGTGAAAGTTTTTCACTAAACTGCTATCCAATGAGATTTTTGCATTAAACCGCTGCATTATTAACCAATTGTCTTAATGAAAATCTTATTTGTAAAAAAGACTTTGATGTTGGAAAAGAACAACAACATAACAATAATCACTCAAATTTCAAGATGTATATTAATAATAAATTTTTGAAATTTTGAAAGTCAATCGCGTGACCGAGTAGACATAAAAAGTTTGACTTATTATGAAGCCTAAACAACTATCGTTGGTCTTCGAAGAACTATAAACAAATCATAGTCGTCTAAGGCTCTTGATAAGCTGTTTAATGAGGATATGCAATAGGAAAAGTTAACAGCTAGGTGACGACAGATGCATACGTCAGCGCAGCAGGCAGCGAAAGGGGTATATGAGGCGTAGGCTTAAGAGTCAATCATAATTGACAGTGGTAGTCTTTAGCACAACGAATCTAAATCTCGCCAACAAAGAAAGATATATAACTATCTTCATTGTTCAGCACAATCTTGTACTATCGTGTACAAATGGAATGAAACTGAACAGTCGTAATTTGTTCATGTACAATGCAGAATACTAGCCCAGAAATTGATGAAGTAAAATTTTAATTTTACCTCTGATGATAGTAAGATTTTTAACATCAGATAAATCATTTCCCAGTTTATTCTTTGCTTCACAACGATATGAACCAGCGTTATTGAAGTTGACAGATTGAATGATGTATGTCTTATTATTACTGATAACTGCACCATTATGATAAATAGTGTAGGTTGGTTCAGGATAACCATCTGATTCACAGGTTATTGTCACATTTTGACCTTGTTTTACTGACATTGGACTGATGGTGATATTGGTTTGTTGTGGTCGATCTGTAAAGAATAAAATTAAATCCAATATTCGAAACAAACGTTTATAATGAGATCTGAAATGATGTCTTACAAACTTACAAGTAGCTTTCACTGTTACTTCAATAGATTTTTCATCTCTAAAACGTTGATCATTATAACTTTGTGCTTTACATGTGTAATTTCCACCATCATTCAATGTAACATTAGTGATTACTAATGTCTTATTTACAACTCCAACATCACCAATTATGTTGTTATTTTTATCAAACCATGTGACATTAGCAGGAGGGTTACCTCCTTCACCTCTACATACACATGATACATTATCACCTTCATTCACAACCAGAGGTGTTGAACAATTAATTACCACTGTAGGTTTCACTGAAATTAAAAACAGAAAATATTCCTTTCTTAAATTAGCTATGAAAAAGAAAATTGATAATGAGAGTATTCGTTAGTGTTAGATGCATTTTCTTAGGAGTGTTCAATCGATGCCCTAACCAGTCACAAGCCAGCACGAAGCCCGCTTATCAGTAGCTAAAAGTCCAGAATAGTGGAAATTTTCCACTAAACTGCTATCCAATGAGATTTTTGCATTATTGTCGATTTCAGTTAACTTTTCAAATGGCGGTTGCCAAGTTACTTTCTAATGTTGCCAACTAAATTTCCAAATATGGAATATTCGAAAAGAACTTGTCAACTTGAGTTGACAAGTTGTGTACTTGAGTACTGAAGTTGTGTACTTGAGTACTGAAGTTGTGAACTAAAGTTGCGAAGTACAAGCAAACGCCAAAGGTCTTTGTACCCTGTAGACATTTGGCAATGAATCCGTTCAGTAAGCAAGGAAAAGCTTTAGCAATTCTAATCCGTTTGACGGCCCTCTAAGAGTGTTATAATGCGATACGCCGTTTACATTATGTAATAAATTTACAGTAAATGTGGCACTAGAAGAGTATCATTGGATTTTAAATGCAGGAGTACCCTGCATACTGTGCCCTCGACGTCTGTAGCCACTCGTAACAACTACAGACGACTCATCAAAGAAATGCATACGGTTGCAATCAATCAATGAAATATTTGCTACGTAAGCTAACTTCTCCATAACGCCTGGCCGTTCTGTCTCTCGAGGAATTTGACTTATTACCTTGTTAGAGTAACCAAGATCTTTTTTCGAAATTCTGCTAATGGATGACCTGCTAGGTATGTTTGCTGGAAGGCAAACTTTGTTATTTCTAGGTGTTGCTGAATCTCTGCGTAAATAGATGGTTTATTAATTTTTATTCAGCGTATGCAATAACGTCATCTGTACGCGTGTTCGAACATCACGTTCGCTCTGGCGAGGTGCAATAAAACCAGTGTCTACCCATAGATCTATTAAATTTGATATAGTCTTATACGGTAGGTTTAGTTGTTTCAAAATGATTGTCAAACACTCATTATTTAACCACATTTCAAGTATTTCATTTCTTACTTCTATTGGTAAAGCTTTTCCTTGCTTACTGAACGGATTCGTTGCCAAATGTCTACAGGGTACAAAGACCTTTCGCGTTTGCTTGTACTTCGCAACTTTAGTTCACAACTTCAGTACTCAAGTTCACAACTTCAGTACTCAAGTACACAACTTGTCAATTCAAGTTGACAAGTTCATATCGAATATTCCATATTTGGAAATGTAGTTGGCAACATTAGAAAGTAACTTGGCAACCGCCATTTGAAAAGTTAACTGAAATCGACGGTAAACCGCTGCATTATTAACCAATTTACTTATTGAAAATCTTATTGGTAAAAAAGACTTTGATGTTGGAAAACAACAACAACAATTTAAAGTCGATCGCGTGACCGACTAGACCTAAAGAATATTGACTTATTATGAAATCTAAAAAAACTATCATTGGTCTTCGAAGAACTATAAACAAATCATAGTCGTCTAAGGCTTTTGATAACCTATTTAATGAGGATATGCAATAGGCAAAGTTAACAGCTAGGTGACAACAGATGCATACGTCAGCGCAGTAGGCAGCGAAAGGGCAATGTGTATGCCTAAGAGTCAATCATAATTGGCAGTAGTAGTCTTTCAGCAAAACGAATCTAAATCTCGCCAACAAAGAAAAATATATAACTATCTTCATTGTTCATCACAATCTTGTACTATCGTGTACAAATGGGATGAAACTGAACAGTCGTAATTTGTTCATGTACAATGTAGAATACTAGCCCAAAAATTGATGAAGTAAAATTTTAATTCTACCTTTGATGATAGTAAGATTTTTAACTTGAGATGAATCATTTCCCAGTCTATTCTTTGCTTCACAACGATATGAACCAGCGTTATTGAAGTTGACAGATTGAATGATGTATGTCTTATTATTACTGATAACTGCACCATTATGATAAATAGTGTAGGTTGGTTCAGGATAACCATCTGATTCACAGGTTATTGTCACATTTTGACCTTTTTTTACTGACATTGGACTGATGGTAATATTGGTTTGTTGTGGTGGATCTGTATAGAATAAAATTAAATTCAATATTCTACACAAACGTTTATAATGAGATCTGAAATGTTGTCTTACAAACTTACAAGCAGCTTTCACTGTTACTTCAATAGATTTTTCATCTCTAAAACGTGGATCATTATAACTCTGTGCTTTACATGTGTAATTTCCACCATCATTTACTGTAACATTAGTGATTACTAATGTCTTATTTACAACTCCAATATCACCAATTATGTTGTTATGTTTATCAAACCATGTGACATTAGCAGGAGGGATACCTCCTTCACCTCTACATACACATGACACATTATCACCTTCATCCACAACCAGAGGAGTTGAACAATTAATTACCACTGTAGGTTTCACTGAAATTAAAACAGAAAATATTCCTTTCTTAAATTAGTTATGAAAAAGAAAATTAATAATGAGAGTATTCGTTAGTGTTAGGTGCATTTTCTTAGGAGTGTTGGATCGATGCCCTAACCAGTCACAAGCCAGCAGTAAGCCCGCTTATCAGTCGCTAAAGTCTAGATTAGTGGAAATTTTCCACTAAACTGCTATCCAATGAGATTTTGGACTAAGCCGCTGCATTATTAACCAATTTGCTTAATAAAAATTTCATTTGTAAAAAGACTTTGATGTTGGAAAAGAACAACAAAATAACAATAATCACTCAAATTTCAAGATGCATATAAATAATAAATTTTGAAATTTTGAAAATCAATCGCGTGACCGACTAGACATAAAAAATATTGACTTATTATGGAGCCTAAACAAATATTGTTGGTCTTCGAAGAACTACAAACAAATCATAGCCGTTTAAGTCTCTTGATAACCTATTTAATGAAGATATGCAATAGGAAAGTTAACAGCTAGGTGACGACAGTTGCATACGTCAGCGCAGCAGGAAGCGAAAGTGGCATATGAGGAGTAAAGACATGCATACACGTCAGCAGCGAAAGGGGTATATGAAGAGTAAAGACATGCATACACGTCAGCCCGGCAGGCAGCGAAAGGGTATATGAGGTGTAGGTTTAAGAGTCAATCATAATTGGCAGTGGTAGTCATTCAGCACAACCAATCAAAATCGCGCCAACAAAGAAAAATATATAACTATCTTCATTGTTCAGCACAATCTTGTACTATCGTGTACAAATGGGATGAAACTGAACAGTCGTAATTTGTTCAAGTACAATGCAGAATACTAGCCCAAAAATTGATGAAGTAAAATTTGAATTTTACCTCTGATGATAGTAAGATTTTTAACTTGAGATGAATCATTTCCCAGTCTATTCTTTGCTTCACAACGATATGAACCAGCGTTATTGAAGTTGACAGATTGAATAATGTATGTCTTATTATTGCTGATAACTGCACCATTATGATAAATAGTGTAGGTTGGTTCAGGATAACCATCTGATTCACAGGTTATTGTCACATTTTGACCTTTTTTTACTGACATTGGACTGATGGTAATATTGGTTTGTTGTGGTGGATCTGTATAGAATAAAATTAAATTCAATATTCTACACAAACGTTTATAATGAGATCTGAAATGCTGTCTTACAAACTTACAAGCAGCTTTCACTGTCACTTCAACAGATTTTTCATCTTTAAAACGTGGATCATTATAACTTTGTGCTTTACATGTGTAATTTCCACCATCATTTAATGTAACATTAGTGATTACTAATGTCTTACTTACAACTCCAACATCACCAATTATGTTGTTATCTTTATTAAACCATGTGACATTAGCAGGAGGGATACCTCCTTCACCTTTACATACACATGATACATTATCACCTTCATTGACAACCAGAGGTGTTGAACAATTAATTACCACTGTAGGTTTCACTGAAATTAAAAACAGAAAATATTCCTCTCTTAAATTAGCTATGAAAAAGAAAATTAATAATGAGAGTATTCGTTAGTGTTAGGTGCATTTTCTTAGGAGTGTTGGATCGATGCCCTAACCAGTCACAAGCCAGCACGAAGCCCGCTCATCACTCGCTAAAAGTCCAAATTAGTGGAAATCTTCCACTAAACTGATATCCAATGAGATTTTTGGATTAAACCGCTGCATTATTAACCAATTTGCTTAATAAAAATTTCATTTGTAAAAAAGACTTTGATGTTGCAAAAGAACAACAAAATAACAATAATCACTCAAATTTCAAGATGCATATTAATAATAAATTTTGAAATTTTGAAAGACCATCGCGTGACCGACTAGACATAAAAAGTTTGACTTATTATGAAGCCTAAACAACTATCATTGGTCTTCGAAGAACTATTGGTCTAAGGCTCTTGATAACCTATTTAATGAGGATATGCAATAGGCAAAGTTAACAGCTAGGTGACGACAGATGCATACGTCAGCGCAGCAGGTAGCAAAGGGGTATATGAGGCGTAGGCTTACGAGTCAATCATAATTGGCAGTGGTAGTCTTTAGCACAACGAATCTAAATCTCTATTAATCTCTACAAAGAAAAATATATTACTATCTTCAATTGTTCAGCACAAACTTGTACGATCGTGTACAAATGGGATGAAACTGAACAGTCGTAATTTGTTCATGTACAATGTAGAATACTAGCCCAGAAATTGATGAAGTAAAATTGTAATTCTACCTCTGATGATAGTAAGATTTTTAACATCAGATAAATCATTTCCCAGTTTATTCTTTGCTTCACAACGATATGAACCAGCGTTATTGAAGTTGACAGATTGAATGATGTATGTCTTATTATTACTGATAACTGCACCATTATGATAAATAGTGTAGGTTGGTTCAGGATAACCATCTGATTCACAGGTTATTGTCACATTTTGACCTTTTTTTACTGACATTGGACTGATGGTGATATTGGTTTGTTGTGGTGGATCTGTAAAGAATAAAATTAAATTCAAAATTCTACACAAACGTTTATAATGAGATCTGAAATGTTGTCTTACAAACTTACAAGTAGCTTTCACTGTTACTTCAATAGATTTTTCATCTCTAAAACGTGGATCATTATAACTCTGTGCTTTACATGTGTAATTTCCACCATCATTTACTGTAACATTAGTGATTACTAATGTCTTACTTACAACTCCAACATCACCAATTATGTTGTTATCTTTATTAAACCATGTGACATTAGCAGGAGGGATACCTCCTTCACCTTTACATACACATGATACATTATCACCTTCATTGACAACCAGAGGTGTTGAACAATTAATTACCACTGTAGGTTTCACTGAAATTAAAAACAGAAAATATTCCTTTCTTAAATTAGTTATGAAAAAGAAAATTAATAATGACGGTATTCGTTAGTGTTAGGTGCATTTTCTTAGGAGTGTTGGATCGATGCCCTAACCAGTCACAAGCCAGCACGAAGCCCGCTTATCAGTAGCTAAAAGTCCAAATTAGTGGAAATCTTCCACTAAACTGATATCCAATGAGATTTTTGGATTAAACCGCTGCATTATTAACCAATTTGCTTAATAAAAATTTCATTTGTAAAAAAGACTTTGATGTTGCAAAAGAACAACAAAATAACAATAATCACTCAAATTTCAAGATGCATATTAATAATAAATTTTGAAATTTTGAAAATCAATCGCGTGACCGACTAGACATAAAAAAATATTGACTTATTATGGAGCCTACACAAATATTGTTGGTCTTCGAAGAACTACAAACAAATCATAGCCGTTTAAGTCTCTTGATAACCTATTTAATGAAGATATGCAATAGGAAAGTTAACAGCTAGGTGACGACAGATGCATACGTCAGCGCAGCAGGCAGCGAAAGCGGTATAGGAGGAAAAAAGACATGCATACACGTCAGCGCAGAAGGCAGCGAAATATAGAACAAAGACATGCATATACGTCAGCGCAGCAGGAAGCGAAAGTGGCATATGAGGAGTAAAGACATGCATACATATCAGAGGCAGCGAAAGGGGTATATGAGGAGTAAAGACATGCATATACGTCAGCGCAGCAGGAAGCGAAAGTGGCATATGAGGTAAAGACATGCAGCGCAGCAGGAAGCGAAAGTATGAGAAAGACATGCCTCAGCGCAGCAGGAAGCGAAAGTGGCATATGAGGAGTAAAGACATCAAGTCAGCCAGCAGGCAGAAAGGGTATATGAGGGTAAAGACATACATACGTCAGGCAGGCAACGAAAGGTATATGAGGAGTAAAGACATGCATACGTCACGCAGCAGGCAGTAAAGGGGCATATGAGGAGTAGAACATGCATACACGTCAGCGAATCAGGCAGCGAAAGGGGTATATAAATAGTAAAGACATGCATACACGTCAGCCCGGCAGGAAGCGAAAGTGGCATATGAGGAGTAAAGACATGCATACATGTCAACGCAGCAGGAAGCGAAAGGGGCATATGAGGAGTAAAGACATGCATATACGTCAGCGCAGCAGGAAGCGAAAGTGGCATATGAGGAGTAAAGACATGCATACACGTCAGCGCATCAGGCAGCGAAAGGGTATATGAAGAGTAAAGACATGCATACACGTCAGCCCGGCAGGCAGCGAAAGGGGTATATGAGGTGTAGGTTTAAGAGTCAATCATAATTGGCAGTGGTAGTCATTCAGCACAACCAATCAAAATCGCGCCAACAAAGAAAAATATATAACTATCTTCATTGTTCAGCACAATCTTGTACTATCGTGTACAAATGGGATGAAACTGAACAGTCGTAATTTGTTCAAGTACAATGCAGAATACTAGCCCAAAAATTGATGAAGTAAAATTTGAATTTTACCTCTGATGATAGTAAGATTTTTAACTTGAGATGAATCATTTCCCAGTCTATTCTTTGCTTCACAACGATATGAACCAGCGTTATTGAAGTTGACAGATTGAATAATGTATGTCTTATTATTGCTGATAACTGCACCATTATGATAAATAGTGTAGGTTGGTTCAGGATAACCATCTGATTCACAGGTTATTGTCACATTTTGACCTTTTTTTACTGACATTGGACTGATGGTAATATTGGTTTGTTGTGGTGGATCTGTATAGAATAAAATTAAATTCAATATTCTACACAAACGTTTATAATGAGATCTGAAATGCTGTCTTACAAACTTACAAGCAGCTTTCACTGTCACTTCAACAGATTTTTCATCTTTAAAACGTGGATCATTATAACTTTGTGCTTTACATGTGTAATTTCCACCATCATTTAATGTAACATTAGTGATTACTAATGTCTTACTTACAACTCCAACATCACCAATTATGTTGTTATCTTTATTAAACCATGTGACATTAGCAGGAGGGATACCTCCTTCACCTTTACATACACATGATACATTATCACCTTCATTGACAACCAGAGGTGTTGAACAATTAATTACCACTGTAGGTTTCACTGAAATTAAAAACAGAAAATATTCCTTTCTTAAATTAGTTATGAAAAAGAAAATTAATAATGACGGTATTCGTTAGTGTTAGGTGCATTTTCTTAGGAGTGTTGGATCGATGCCCTAACCAGTCACAAGCCAGCACGAAGCCCGCTTATCAGTAGCTAAAAGTCCAAATTAGTGGAAATCTTCCACTAAACTGATATCCAATGAGATTTTTGGATTAAACCGCTGCATTATTAACCAATTTGCTTAATAAAAATTTCATTTGTAAAAAAGACTTTGATGTTGCAAAAGAACAACAAAATAACAATAATCACTCAAATTTCAAGATGCATATTAATAATAAATTTTGAAATTTTGAAAGACCATCGCGTGACCGACTAGACATAAAAAGTTTGACTTATTATGAAGCCTAAACAACTATCATTGGTCTTCGAAGAACTATTGGTCTAAGGCTCTTGATAACCTATTTAATGAGGATATGCAATAGGCAAAGTTAACAGCTAGGTGACGACAGATGCATACGTCAGCGCAGCAGGTAGCAAAGGGTATATGAGGCGTAGGCTTACGAGTCAATCATAATTGGCAGTGGTAGTCTTTTAGCACAACGAATCTAAATCTCTATTAATCTCTACAAAGAAAAATATATTACTATCTTCAATTGTTCAGCACAAACTTGTACGATCGTGTACAAATGGGATGAAACTGAACAGTCGTAATTTGTTCATGTACAATGTAGAATACTAGCCCAGAAATTGATGAAGTAAAATTGTAATTCTACCTCTGATGATAGTAAGATTTTTAACATCAGATAAATCATTTCCCAGTTTATTCTTTGCTTCACAACGATATGAACCAGCGTTATTGAAGTTGACAGATTGAATGATGTATGTCTTATTATTACTGATAACTGCACCATTATGATAAATAGTGTAGGTTGGTTCAGGATAACCATCTGATTCACAGGTTATTGTCACATTTTGACCTTTTTTTACTGACATTGGACTGATGGTGATATTGGTTTGTTGTGGTGGATCTGTAAAGAATAAAATTAAATTCAAAATTCTACACAAACGTTTATAATGAGATCTGAAATGTTGTCTTACAAACTTACAAGTAGCTTTCACTGTTACTTCAATAGATTTTTCATCTCTAAAACGTGGATCATTATAACTCTGTGCTTTACATGTGTAATTTCCACCATCATTTACTGTAACATTAGTGATTACTAATGTCTTACTTACAACTCCAACATCACCAATTATGTTGTTATGTTTATCAAACCATGTTACATTAGCAGGAGGGATACCTCCTTCACCTCTACATACACATGACACATTATCACCTTCATCCACAACCAGAGGAGTTGAACAATTAATTACCACTGTAGGTTTCACTGAAATTAAAACAGAAAATATTCCTTTCTTAAATTAGTTATGAAAAAGAAAATTAATAATGAGAGTATTCGTTAGTGTTAGGTGCATTTTCTTAGGAGTGTTGGATCGATGCCCTAACCAGTCACAAGCCAGCAGTAAGCCCGCTTATCAGTCGCTAAAAGTCCAGATTAGTGGAAATTTTCCACTAAACTGCTATCCAATGAGATTTTTGGACTAAGCCGCTGCATTATTAACCAATTTGCTTAATAAAAATTTCATTTGTAAAAAGACTTTGATGTTGGAAATAAAACAAAATAACAATAATCACTCAAATTTCAAGATGCATATTAATAATAAATTTTGAAATTTTGAAAATCAATCGCGTGACCGACTAGACATAAAAAATATTGACTTATTATGGAGCCTACACAAATATTGTTGGTCTTCGAAGAACTACAAACAAATCATAGCCGTTTAAGTCTCTTGATAACCTATTTAATGAAAATATGCAATAGGAAAGTTAACAGCTAGGTGACGACAGTTACATACGTCAGCGCAGCAGGCAGCGAAAGGGGCATATGAGGAGTAAAGACATGCATATACCTCAGCGCAGCAGGAAGCGAAAGTGGCATATGAGGAGTAAAGACATGCATACACGTCAGCGCAGCAGGAAGCGAAAGTGGCATATGAGGAGTAAAGACATGCATACGTCAGCGCATCAGGCAGCGAAAGGGGTATATGAGGAGTAAAGACATGCATATACCTCAGCGCAGCAGGAAGCGAAAGTGGCATATGAGGAGTAAAGACATGCATACACGTCAGCGCAGCAGGCAGCGAAAGCGGTATATGAGGAGTAAAGACATGCATACACGTCAGCGCAGAAGGCAGCGAAAGGGGTATATGAGGAGTAAAGACATGCATATACGTCAGCGCAGCAGGAAGCGAAAGTGGCATATGAGGACAAAAACATGCGTCAGCGCAGAAGGCAGCGAAAGGGTATATGAGGAAGAACAGCATATACGTCAGCGCAGGGAAGCAAAGTGGCATATGAGATAAAGAACAATGCATATCAGCGCAGCATAAGAGCGAAAGTGGCATATGAGAGAAAGACAACATCACGCAGAAGAGGCAAAGAAAGAGGTATGAGGATACAAGCAAAAGCGAAAGCATATGAGAAAACAATGCATACATCAGCGCAGAGGCAATGAAAGGGTATATGAGGAGTAAAGACATGCATATACGTCAGCGCAGCAGGAAGCGAAAGTGGCATATGAGGAGTAAAGACATGCATATACCTCAGCACAGCAGGAAGCGAAAGTGGCATATGGGGAGTAGAACATACATATACCTCAGCGCAGCAGGAAGCGAAAGTGGCATATGAGGAGTAAAGACATACATATCCTCAGCGCAGCAGGAAGCGAAAGTGGCATATGAGGAGAAAGAACATATACCTCAGCGCAGCAGGAAGCGAAAGTGGCATATGAGGATAAAGACATGAATACACGTCAGCGCAGCAGGCAGCGAAAGCGGGTGGGAGGAGTAAAGAACAATACATACGTCACAGCAGGCAGCGAAAGGATATATAGGAGTAAAGCAATGCATACGTCAGCGGCAGCGGCAATAAAGAGGTATATGAGGAGTAAAGAGACATGATACATCAACGCAGCAGGCAGCGTAAGGGGCATATGAGGATAAAGACAATACATACGTCAGCGCATCAGGCAGCGAAAGGGTATATGAAGAGTAAAGACATCATACCGTCAGCCGGAAGGCAGCGGGTATATGAGAGATAAAGACATGCATACAAGTCAGCCAGTGGGCAGCGAAAGGGTATATGAGGTGTAAAGACATGCATACGTCAGCGCAGCAGGCAGCGAAAGAGGTATATGAGGGTAAAGACATGCATACACGTCAGCGGGCAGGCAGCGAAAGAGGTATATGAGGAGTAAAGAACATAACGTCAACGCATCAGGCAGCGTAAATATGAGGAGTAAAGACATGCAAACGTCAGCGCATCAGGCAGCGAAAGGGTATAAATAGTAAAGACGCATACACGTCAAACGGCAAACAGCAAAGTGGCATGAGAGTAAAGACATACATACGTCAACGAGCAGGAAGCAAAGGGCATATGAGGAGTAAAGAATGCATATACGTCAGCGCAGCAGGAAGCAAAGAAATGGCATAAAGACAATACATACGCATCAACCAGCAGGAAGCGAAAGGAGCATATGAGGAAGAGACAATACATATAAATCAGCGCAGCAGGAAGAAAGTGGCATGGGAGTAGAAAATGCATGCCTCCCAGAAGCAGGAAGGAAAGTGGCATATAAAGATAAAGACATGCATATACCTCAGCGCAGCAAGAAATAAAGTGGCATATGAGGATAAAGACGTACATATCTCAGCGCAGCAGGAAGCGAAAGGGCATATGAGATAAAGATACGCATATACCTCAGCGCAGCAGGGATCGAAAGTGGCATATGAGATAAAGACAATGCATATGCGTCAAGCAGCAGCAATAAATGGCTATGGAGTAAAGACATGCATATACACCAGCGCAGCAGGAGCGAAAGGGTATATGAGGAGTAAAGAACGCACACGTCAGCGCAAGGAAGCGAAAGGGTATAAAGGTGTAAAGACATACAACGTCAGCGCAGCAGGGAAAGAGGTATATAAGAATTAAGAGGAGGACAATACATGCAAATCAGCCAGCAGGCAGCGAAAGAGGTATATGAGGAGTAAAGACATGCATACACATCAACGCAGCAGGCAGCGTAAAGGGGCATATGAGGAGTAAAGACAATACATACACGTCAGCGCATCAGGCAGCGAAAGGGGTATATGAAGAGTAAAGACATACATACGTCAATGCACGATGCGAAAGGGGTATATGAGGATAAAGACAATACGCTACAGTCAGCCCGGCAGCGAAAGGGGTATATGAGGTGTAAAGACACATACTACACGTCAGCGCAGCAACAGCGAAAGAGGTATATGAGGAGATAGAACAATACATACGTCAGCCGGCAGGCAGAAAGAGGGTATATGAGGAGTAAAGACATGCATGCACGTCAACGCAGCAGGCAGCGTAAGGGGCATATGAGAGTAAGACATGACATACGTCAGCGCAGCAGGCAGCGAAAGGGTATATGAGGATAAAGCATACATACATCAACGCAGCAGGTAGCGAGAGGTATATGAGAGTAAAGACATACATACATCAACGCAGCAGGCAGCGTGAGGGGCATATGAGGGGTAAAGACATGCATACGTCAGCGCATCAGGCAGAAAGGGGTATATGAAGAGTAAAGACAATACATACCGTCAGAGGCAGCAGAAAAAGGTATATGAGATAAAGACATGCATACAAGTCAGCCCGGCAGGCAGCGAAAGGGTTATATGAGGAGTAAAGACATGCATACAAGTCAGCGCATCAGGAAGCGAAAGAGGCATATGAAGAGTAAAGACATGCATACACGTCAGCCCGGCAGGCAGAGAAAGGGGTATATGAGGAGTAAAGACATGCATACACGTCAGCGCAGCAGGCAGCGAAAGAGGTATATGAGGAGTAAAGACATGCATACACGTCAGCCCGGCAGGCAGCGAAAGAGGTATATGAAGAGTAAAGACATGCATACACATCAACGCAGCAGGCAGCGTAAGGGGCATATGAGGAGTAAAGACATGCATACACGTCAGTATCAGGCAGCGAAAGGGGTATATGAAGAGTAAAGAATGCATACGTCAGCCAGCAGGTAGCGAAAGGGGCATAAGGGGAGTATAAAGACATACATATAAGTCAAGGCAGGCAAAGTGGCATATGAGGAGTAAAGGCATATAAGAAGTTAGGAAACATTGCATACCTCAGCAGCAGCAGGAAGAGAAAGAGAGTGGCATATGAGGAGTAAAGACATACCATATACCTCAGCGCAGGAAGCAAAAGTGGCATATGAGGAATAAAGACAATGCATATACCTCAGCGCAGCAAAAGGGGCCAGAGAAAGTATGCATATACAGCAGGAGAAAGCAACGATACATATGCAAAGATCAGCGAGGAGGCATATGAGCGGAGATAAAGATACATACACATCAACGCAGCAGGCAGCGAAAGGGTATATGAGGATAAAGACATGTACATATACATCAGTAGCAATAGGCAGCAGCGAAAGGGTATATGAAGAGTAAAGACATGCATACGTCACGGCGCGGCAGGCGCGAAGGGTATATGAGGAGTAGACATGCATGCAGAAGTCAGCCCGGCAGGCAGCGAAAGGGGTATATGAGGAGTAAAGACATGCATACGTCAGCCAGCAGGCAGCGAGAGGTATATGGAGTAAAGACATACACGTCAACGCAGCAGGCAGCGTAAAGGGGCATATGAGAGTAAAGACAATACGTCAGCGCATCAGGCAGCGAAAGGGTATATGAAGAGTAAAGACATGCATATACGTCAGCGCATCAGGCAGCGAAATGGGTATATGAAGAGTAAAGACATGCATACACGTCAGCGCAGCAGGAAGCGTAAGGGTATATGAGGAGTAAAGACATGCATACACGTCAGCGCAGCAGGCAGCGTAAGAGGTATATGAGGAGTAAAGACATGCATACACGTCAGCCCGGCAGGCAGCGAGAGAGGTATATGAGGAGTAAAGACATGCATACACGTCAACGCAGCAGGCAGCGTAAAGGGGCATATGAGGAGTAAAGACATGCATACACGTCAGCGCATCAGGCAGCGAAAGGGTATATGAAGAGTAAAGACATGCATATACGTCAGCGCATCAGGCAGCGAAAGGGTATATGAAGAGTAAAGACATGCATACACGTCAGCCCGGCAGGCAGCGAAAGGGTATATGAGGAGTAAAGACATGCATATACCTCAGCGCAGCAGGAAGCGAAAGGGGTATATGAGGTGTAGGTTTAAGAGTCAATCATAATTGGCAGTGGTAGTCATTCAGCAAAACGAATCTAAATCTCACCAACAAAGAAAAATATATAACTACCTTCATTGTTCAGCACATTCTTGTACTATCGTGTACAAATGGGATGAAACTGAACAGTCGTAATTTGTTCAAGTACAATGCAGAATACTAGCCCAAAAATTGATGAAGTAAAATTTTAATTTTACCTCTGATGATAGTAAGATTTTTAACTTGAGATGAATCATTTCCCAGTCTATTCTTTGCTTCACAACGATATGAACCAGCGTTATTGAAGTTGACAGATTGAATAATGTATGTCTTATTATTGCTGATAACTGCACCATTATGATAAATAGTGTAGGTTGGTTCAGGATAACCATGTGATTCACAGGTTATTGTCACATTTTGACCTTTTTTTACTGACATTGGACTGATTGTAATATTGGTTTGTTGTGGTGGATCTGTATAGAATAAAATTAAATTCAATATTCTACACAAACGTTTATAATGAGATCTGAAATGCTGTCTTACAAACTTACAAGCAGCTTTCACTGTTACTTCAATAGATTTTTCATCTCTAAAACGTGGATCATTATAACTCTGTGCTTTACATGTGTAATTTCCACCATCATTTACTGTAACATTAGTGATTACTAATGTCTTATTTACAACTCCAACATCACCAATTATGTTGTTATGTTTATCAAACCATGTGACATTAGCAGGAGGGATACCTCCTTCACCTCTACATACACATGACACATTATCACCTTCATCCACAACCAGAGGAGTTGAACAATTAATTACCACTGTAGGTTTCACTGAAATTAAAAACAGAAAATATTCCTTTCTTAAATTAGTTATGAAAAAGAAAATTAATAATGAGAGTATTCGTTAGTGTTAGGTGCATTTTCTTAGGAGTGTTGGATCGATGCCCTAACCAGTCACAAGCCAGCACGAAGCCCACTTATCAGTCGCTAAAAGTCCAGATTAGTGGAAATTTTCCACTAAACTGCTATCCAATGAGATTTTTGGACTAAGCCGCTGCATTATTAACCAATTTGCTTAATAAAAATTTCATTTGTAAAAAGACTTTGATGTTGGAAAAGAACAACAAAATAACAATAATCACTCAAATTTCAAGATGCATATTAATGATAAATTTTTAAATTTTGAAAATCAATCGCGTGACCGACTAGACATAAAAAATATTGACTTATTATGAAGCGTAAACAAATATTGTTGGTCTTCTAAGAACTACAAACAAATCATAGCCGTTTAAGTCTCTTGATAACCTATTTAATGAAGATATGCAATAGGAAAGTTAACAGCTAGGTGACGACAGTTGCATACGTCAGCGCAGCAGGCAGCGAAAGTGGCATATGAGGAGTAAAGACATGCATATACCTCAGCGCAGCAGGAAGCGAAAGTGGCATATGAGGAGTAAAGCAATGCATACATCAGCGGCGAGCAGCGAAAGTGGCATATGAGGATAAAGACATGCATATACCTCAGCGCAGGAAGCGAAAGTGGCATATGAGGAGTAAAGACATACACGTCAGCGCAAGAGAACAGCGAAAGGGCATATGAGGGTGAACAATGCATACGTCAGCGCATCAGGCAGCGAAAGGGATTATGAGGAGTAAAGACATGCATACCGTCAGCGCAGCAGGAAGCGAAAGTGGCATAGAATAAAGACATGCATATACCTCAGCGGCAGGAAGCGAAAGTGGCATATGAGGAGATAGAACAATACATACACGGCAGCGCATCAGGCAGCGAAAGGTATATGAGGATAAAGACATACATATAAATCAGCGCAGCAGAGAAGGAAAGTGGCATATGAGGAGTAAAGACATGAATCCTCAGCAGGAAGCAAAGTGGCATATGAGGAGTAAAGACATACATGCACGTCAGCCAGCGAACGAGAAAGGGTATATGAGGTGTAAAAGACATACATACGTCAGCAGCAGCAGCGAAAGAGGTATATGGGAGTAAAGACAATACATACGTCAGCCAGCAGGCAGCGAAAGAGGTATATGAGGATAAAGAAAGACATGCACATCAACGCAGCAGGCAGCGTAAAGGGGCATATGAAGAGTAAAGATTACATACACGTCAGCGCATCAGGCAGCGAAAGGGTTATATGAAGAGTAAAGACATGTATACACGTCAGCCAGGTAGCGAAAGGGGTATATGAGGATAAAGACAATGCATAAAGTCAGCCGGCAGGCAGCGAAAGGGTATATGAGGTAAAGACAATACATACAGCAGCGAACAGCGAAAAGGTATAAAGAATAAAGACAATATCAGGCAGCAAAAGGTATATGGAACAGACATGCACGTCAACAGCAGGCAGCGTAAGGGGCATATGAGGAGTAAAGGCCATACGTCAGCACATCAGCGAAAGGGTATATAAAGGGGCATCCGGCAGGAAGCGAAAGTGGCATATGAGGATAAAGACATACGCCAACGTCAACGCAGCAGGAAGCGAAAGGGGCATATGAAGAAATACATATACGTCAGCGCAGCAGGAAGCGAAAGTCGCATATGAGGAGTAAAGACAATACATACACGTCAGCGCATCAGGCAGCGAAAGGGGTATATGAAGAGTAAAGATGCATACATCCCCGGCAGGCAGCGAAAGGGGTATATGAGGTAAAGACAATGCATACAAGTCAGCCCGGCAAGCAGCGAAAGGGGTATATGAGGTGTAAAGACATGCATACACGTCAGCCGGCAGGCAGCGAAAGAGGTATATGAGGAGTAAAGACATGCATACACGTCAACGCAGCAGGCAGCGTAAGGGGCATATGAGGAGTAAAGACATGCATACACGTCAGCGCATCAGGCAGCGAAAGGGGTATATGAAGAGTAAAGACATGCATACACGTCAGCCCGGCAGGCAGCGAAAGGGGTATATGAGGTGTGGAGAGTCAATCATAATTGGCAGTGGTAGTCATTCAGCACAACCAATCTAAATCGCGCCAACAAAGAAAAATATATAACTATCTTCATTGTTCAGCACAATCTTGTACTATCGTGTACAAATGGGATGAAACTGAACAGTCGTAATTTGTTCAAGTACAATGCAGAATACTAGCCCAAAAATTGATGAAGTAAAATTTTAATTTTACCTCTGATGATAGTAAGATTTTTAACTTGAGATGAATCATTTCCCAGTCTATTCTTTGCTTCACAACGATATGAACCAGCGTTATTGAAGTTGACAGATTGAATAATGTATGTCTTATTATTGCTGATAACTGCACCATTATGATAAATAGTGTAGGTTGGTTCAGGATAACCATGTGATTCACAGGTTATTGTCACATTTTGACCTTTTTTTACTGACATTGGACTGATGGTAATATTGGTTTGTTGTGGTGGATCTGTATAGAATAAAATTAAATTCAATATTCTACACAAACGTTTATAAGGAGATCTGAAATGCTGTCTTACAAACTTACAAGCAGCTTTCACTGTCACTTCAACAGATTTTTCATCTTTAAAACGTGGATCATTATAACTTTGTGCTTTACATGTGTAATTTCCACCATCATTTAATGTAACATTAGTGATTACTAATGTCTTACTTACAACTCCAACATCACCAATTATGTTGTTATCTTTATTAAACCATGTGACATTAGCAGGAGGGATACCTCCTTCACCTTTACATACACATGATACATTATCACCTTCATTGACAACCAGAGGTGTTGAACAATTAATTACCACTGTAGGTTTCACTGAAATTAAAAACAGAAAATATTCCTTTCTTAAATTAGTTATGAAAAAGAAAATTAATAATGACGGTATTCGTTAGTGTTAGGTGCATTTTCTTAGGAGTGTTGGATCGATGCCTAACCAGTCACAAGCCAGCACGAAGCCCGCTTATCAGTAGCTAAAAGTCCAAATTAGTGGAAATCTTCCACTAAACTGATATCCAATGAGATTTTTGGATTAAACCGCTGCATTATTAACCAATTTGCTTAGTAAAAATTTCATTTGTAAAAAAGACTTTGATGTTGCAAAAGAACAACAAAATAACAATAATCACTCAAATTTCAAGATGCATATTAATAATAAATTTTGAAATTTTGAAAGACCATCGCGTGACCGACTAGACATAAAAAGTTTGACTTATTATGAAGCCTAAACAACTATCATTGGTCTTCGAAGAACTATTGGTCTAAGGCTCTTGATAACCTATTTAATGAGGATATGCAATAGGCAAAGTTAACAGCTAGGTGACGACAGATGCATACGTCAGCGCAGCAGGTAGGAAAAGGGTATATGAGGCGTAGGCTTACGAGTCAATCATAATTGGCAGTGGTAGTCTTTTAGCACAACGAATCTAAATCTCTATTAATCTCTACAAAGAAAATATATTACTATCTTCAATTGTTCAGCACAAACTTGTACGATCGTGTACAAATGGGATGAAACTGAACAGTCGTAATTTGTTCATGTACAATGCAGAATACTAGCCCAGAAATTGATGAAGTAAAATTGTAATTCTACCTCTGATGATAGTAAGATTTTTAACATCAGATAAATCATTTCCCAGTTTATTCTTTGCTTCACAACGATATGAACCAGCGTTATTGAAGTTGACAGATTGAATGATGTATGTCTTATTATTACTGATAACTGCACCATTATGATAAATAGTGTAGGTTGGTTCAGGATAACCATCTGATTCACAGGTTATTGTCACATTTTGACCTTTTCTAACTGATATCGGACTGATGGTGATATTGGTTTGTTGTGGGGATCTGTATAGAATTAACAAAATTCAATATTCTGTAAACATTTATAATGAGATTTGAAATGACGCCTCGCAAACTTACATATAGGTGTCACTGTTATTTCAATGGATTTCTCATCTCTAAACCTTGGATCATTAAAACTTTGTGCTTTACATGTGTAATTTCCACCATCATTCACTGTAGCATTAGTGATTACTAATGTCTTATTTACAACTCCAACATCACCAATTATGTTGTTATTTTTATTAAACCATGTGACATTAGCAGGAGGGTTACCTCCTTCACCTCTACATACACATGACACATTATCACCTTCATCCACAAACAGAGGATTCGAACAACTAATTGTAACATTTGGTTTTACTAAAAGAAGAGAAGACAAATTGAAGACATCGTTTTACATAACACTATCTAACAACAATACAGTCAGTTAAGAATCAAGTTTGTTAAAAACATTTTCATCCTCGAGATTTTACCAAAAAATTACCTGCAGGGTAATGAACATTCATGAATTTTTAGTAACAATGAACTAAGGGGATTTTTATATGAGCCCGGCTAACCAGGATTCAGTGAGGCGTTAAATGATTTCGAGTCATTAAAAGGAGGCAAAACTTTAAGCTTATAAGTAATTTTTATAAAAATTACAATTGCCCTTAAAGCGCAAAAAAGTCACTCTTTAACATTCTCTAATTAGGCCGAACTGGTTGTTCAAATTTTAAATGTTTTGCGTAGTTATTAAATCAGAATATTGCGAAATTGCTCGAGAAGATTTATCTGACGACAAGTATTGAATCGTTTCCATTTGCCAGAATCATTCAAGGCCTCATTGAATCACAGTTAGCCGGGCTCATATGAACAGCCCTAAACCCAGCAAAATGTAATTTGAATTTAAATTGCAGTTCCTTTTTCTTATAAATTATTTAAACTAACGTAGCTGAAAAATTTAACTGTGTAATTCTGTCTTTTGACTGCAAAAAATGTTTTCTGGAAGACATTGTTCTCTTTCTTTTCTTTATCAACTTTGTAGTTATGAAATGTAAAACTAAAAAAATTCATCACAATACACTCACCGTGTCTAAGTTATTTTGTGAAATATGGAGGTTATGTCTAAGAAGGTAACTCTCGTCCTTTTTTACTGATGATATCATTAGGCTATTAAAAGGCCAAACATGTTTACTTTCAAAAAAATTGTCGTGCATTTAAAATGATCGATATAAATCATATTGTAATTATATTAAATATTCAAATACCAATTACTAAAATTGATAAAAATATGAAATAATAAAAAAACAGGAATGACTTACTTGCAACGAAAACTCTGACTTTAGATATAAAAGGAGATAACGCACTGTCCTTTCTTGCTAATTGAAACTCATACGTTCCATCATAACTATGAGTGATATTTCTTAATTGCAGCGTTGAAGGTTTGTAGACGTCATAATTTGGAAGAATTTGTGAACTGGACTTGAATACATTAAAGTTCTCAAAGACAATGGCCAATCGCGTTTGTGATGAACCATCATTACTACCAGTAAAATACCAATTTCTAATGTCCAAATCACTTTCACTATCATTAAATGTCCACGTTATACTGTGTGTTTCTCCAGGTAGAAATGTAAAATTTGTGCCAGGGAGGTGATTGAATTATTCCTATGACAAGAAATGAAAGATAAATGTATAAAATCTAATAACGTTTAATTCATTTTAATTCATTAAATATCAATTATTAAATAAAAACAGTAGCAAAGGATAGATAACAGAAACATATAAAACAAAATTAACATATAGAACAAGGCTCGGACTAACTCCAATTTAAGGGAATTGCCATTTCAACCCTAGGTGACCCCTGGAGGTCTGTTACGCGAAATTTTCTTATTTTTATTACGTAAATGATTAATTTAATTTTCAATACTCCTAATAAAAATTGTGGCATTTTTCATTTTGTTGATGAAAATTTACTTATTTATTTTAACTATTTTTAGGAGGGTCCAAATCATCTGAAACACTGTACACAGAGATGTTTAATCACTGAACTAATGTTGGATGAAAATTACACAAGAAATGAAGACAGTGGATAAAGATACAGTTGACACAATATCAAGTACTACCATGAATAAAATACACAGTAGACGGAGTGAAGATGAACATTACTTCAACCAGATATGAAAAGACAGCAGTCACTTTCCAACTATGATGCATATGAGAGAAATTATGAACACCCTACAGTCTCTGGGTTTCCAAAAAAATTGTGTAATTGATAACTAAATTTTTTTTGGTTAAAATTGAGCTGTACAAACTAGTGTGACAGCATCAAGACCAAATGTGATCTTTTACTTACATGTCGACTTGTTGGTATGAGAACAATAGATAAATAATAACAGACATATAAATATTCAATAATTTATAATTTAGATTTGCACTTCAGCCACATAGAGCTGCATATTTTATAATGATGAAACACATTTGGCTTTATTGTACAAGAACAAGTGCTATCACTTTTTACCACAAAAGATTCTGTTGTCGAATCATCAATGAGATATTCTTACTTCTTTGCTCAATAATCATTACATGCATGTATTTATAAGGTAAAGAACATTCTTTGTCTTCTAAAATACTGCCAGGTATTGCTTTTAAATTATTTCATTCAATGCAGAACTGGTTATGGTCATTGTACACATACTGAAGAATTAAGTGAGTATTTTAGTCAATATATCTTAAATTTCTAAGCAAATTCCACAGTTTTATTTGACAAAAATAAACATTAACTTCCTTAATGATCTAATAAAAATAATAAATACCTTGACAAGATGAAATCCAACAGAACAAAACAAATGAAAGGAAGCCAAACTTTTCCATCTTGTATTCAGTCTGTAAAGGTAAAGGTGAAGATGCAACTTAAATAAAATCACAGAACTACTACATAAATATATGATGTATTCCTTCATATTTTATGTATATTTTTGATTTCCTATAACCATTAATATTGAAGAAAACAAGAGCATCAGTAAAACTTCCTAAATTTTCGATAAAAAACATCCTCTGTTGTTGCCAGAAAAACAAGATTTTTTTGTTTTGTACTTTGCGGAAGTACTAAAGAACTTTCCACTATGATACATCTCAGACAACTCTTAATTCCACAGGAAATGCCGTGAAATGTCAATAAAATTATTTACAAATAATCTTGTCCAACAATATTTGTTAACATTTTAAATGATTCACTTTACCTTAAACAATACTGAAGTAGCTAAGCTGGTGAAAAATCTTCACGTATTTCTTAAATAAACCGGCTAATTTTCCTTATTTCACATAATTTACGCATCTCATGTTGTGCAAATATTTATATAAGTAATGAAAAGAATTTAAACGCCGTGACAACGCTGTCATATGTAACAGAGCGATCATATTTTATCAAAACCTTTCTCATGACAAGCCACACAAATTGCCCAGAGTTGTTTTAAAAAAAGAATACCAGCCACACAATCTTTATTCTGTAATTTTATCCTTACATATGACTTAATGGTGCTTTTAGATGAATGTATAAATTGTGAAAGCATACTTCGACACGCTGTGCCAATATCCATTTTTTAGTTGATTACAATGCTCTTGAAGACGATGAGCATCCACAAGTGGATTTGGTAAGAAAATCATTGTGAAAAATAACATCTGTATAAATCGCTTTTGCTGAAATATTCTTAGTAATTTTCACAATTTTAATGCACAATTTAAAATTTCTTATACTTTGTCTACAAAGAATTCCAGTTAGGAGGGGGGGGACTTTGGAATCGCCAGGGGCCCTGGGAAAGCTTGATCCACCCCCCTGCTTACCCTATCTATCTTACCAATGATCTTATCCTGCAGTTTTTAGCTGAAAATACCAAACGTGGCTAGATTGAGAATGTTCTTGACGAGTCCCAGGGGGCATGCATCACTGATAAATTTTTGATTTCGTAAAACAGTGAATCAAATGACAAATAACCAAGTTGTCCTTTAACTTTTACCATTTCAACCTAAGCGACTTCAATTCAGATGGTTGGACTGCAAACTTCTGTTTAGCAAAGGACTGTACATGGATGACGTCAGACGACTTTGCTCTTTTTAATCGGGTATATTAGAATTTAAAATTGTTTAAAAAAGAGCAAATACCATGGTGAATGGTTAAAATAATAACGTAATAGTTCTTAAAAGATGTGTTTAAAACCAGAACACTAAACTCAACAAGTCACCAAAACAAATTCAGAAATTAAAAGTACTACAGTATTGTTCTATAATTTCTTTTAATCGTTGTATTTACATTGTTTTACCATTAGCTTAGAATCTTAAATGAAAGAAAATTTTACAAAATTTGGGGACAATATAGAATTGCAAATCCGGTTTAAAATAAAGCGTCAATACAGATCGGATTAAAATTTCATGCAACGCTACCAAGCTGAACTTACTTTGCTTTGATTTACGACAGCAGAAAATGACAACAACTATAATGGCGACAAGGAAAACCGCTCCAACAGCAATACCAACAATCAGAGCAATATTTGGTCCATCATCATCATCATCTTTAACTGTAGAATTATTGTTACCATTATCTTTGCTTGTAGAAGTATTTTGGCTAACTTAAATAAAGAGTTGTGAACTTTGATAAATTTTATCAAACAGTCTTCTTGACGACCCCACCAAATTCAAACATTAATCAATAGCTTTTTAAATAGGTCTAGCAAATAGTTTGAAATAGCCAGAATGAAACAATGCGATATGCAAAAAAAAAATAAAATTCACAATACACACTAAAGTTAGTGTCAGGTCATACGTAAATTGATAAATTAATAAAAAAAGTTTAAAAAACAAATGGTGAGACACGCTCTCCATAAATGATGTTCCACATAAAAGAATTAAAGAAAAAAACGTTAAAAAAGTTACCGTTGTTAGTGGGAGTTGAACTAATTGATGACGTCAAGGTAAACGTCATCAATGACGTAATTATCGACGATGATAGACTGAATGAGCTTAATATAGGAGCTAGCACAATTACAAAAATTGTTCAAATGAGAATGATTCCAATATTGAAATTCCTTCAATATTGAAATGCGTGCCACCAAATCATGAAAATTTGCTAGTTTGAAATTCCAGTCATTCAAGCAATTCACGCCAAGTAATCTATTTACAATTAATGAACTCTAGGCAATTTACGTTTATAAACACTTTAATGATTATACTGGGAAATACAGATAAGTTAAACATATTTTTACTGATAGTCATTGAAGAATATATATACATAGAAAAAAATGTTATGGTTAATGCAGCATGCAGACATTGCCAGTCTTTGCTTTACCACACGAGCCAGTAAAAAGTTATGTAATCAGAGCAATCTTCGTTGTTTACTGAAATTTTATTGTTATAATGGTATTCAAGCGCATTCAAGAAGTCTAATGCTAATTACAAAAAGATAAACATCGGTCTTTCACCTTTTGCTACCAAGAAAGTTCGTACATAATGCAAAATAAAAGTCCAACAAGTGATAAGCTGAGGTTCTTAATTTTACCTTCGTTAACAACAGTGAGAGGTTGAAACTGAGAAAAATCATTCCCCAGTTTATTCTTTGCTTCACAACGATATGAACCATTGTGATTGAAGTTGACAGATTGAATGATGTATGTCTTATTATAACTGACAATACGTATACTACCAGCATCTTTATGATGAATAATGAAGGTTGGCGGAGGAAAACCATCTGATTCGCAGGTTTTATTCACACTTTCACCAATTTTTGATAGGGATATGTTCGTACTTCTTGGTTTATCTAAAATTTAAAATTGAAAATTCTACGTATTTCACAATTTGAAAACCTTATTGCAAAAGTACTAAATATATAAGTTCGCAACTTACAATTCACTATTATTTCAATGGATTTTCGTCAATGAAACGTGGATCATTAAAACTTTCAGCTTTACATTTGTAACTTCCACGATCCTTTGGTGAGGCACCAGTGATTACTAAAGTCGCACTTTCAACTCCAAATCTACCAACTGTTGTGCTATCTTTATCAAACCATGTGACTTTAGCAGGAGGGTTACCTCCTTCACCTCTACATACACATGACACACCATCACTTTCATTCACAAACAGAGGAGATGAACAGTTAATCGACACGTTTGGTTTGACTGAAATTAAAGACAGAATCATAATAATAGTCATGATAGAAACAATAGGGTATTTATTTGTAAGCGTCAGTGAGACAGGGGTAAAAACCGGAAGAGGAATGTCGCATCTGTAAAGAATAAAATTTATTGTTGTATGTGCTGTGTATGTCAAACTTGATTTGAAAATAGTACTGTAAACTAATTTCTTACAGAATGAAGAAATATACCTACTTTCTTTGCTTAAAAAGACATCGTAGTCGCGACTACGAATTTTTTACAAAACATCGTACTCAGATTGATGACGGCTACGTGTTTTTGTTGTCGCAACAATGTTTTCGCGCCAAAATGACGTAAATGGTACTCGTAGTCGTACTCGTAGTCTTTGCTAAAGCTCCCTATTATCGCAAAATTTCATTTGACTGCTCTCCTTTGAGTTAACATTAAACATGTTTTATACATTTGTGATTAGGTAGTTCATATTTTTTTAAAATTCAACTCTCCTCCATTTTCCAGTAGGCTTCATGACATTATCGCAAAATTTCATTTGACTGCTCTCCTTATCTGAGTGGCTAATACACAATTTAATCCATACTTTTAGAATCGACCATAACATGGGCCACATGACAGCCCAAACAACCGCTAAAACTTAAAACAATAGCATGAAGCAGGGGCTGAAGGTATATGGAATTATGGAAAAAACCAGTGAACTGGTTTATGAAAACCAATCAAAGAAAATTTGCAAATCAATCATAAACACATGTTAGTGGAAAAATTAAAACGGTTGTCTTATCGAATTATTGATAATTCATAAAAAAAATAAAAGATGTTTTTTCGTGTTTGCATTGGCTTATGTAAACTTCGGAGACGTTTGAAAAAAGGTTTCCTCGGTTTCCATAAGCCTGTGCAAACAAGGTAAACATCTTTTATTTCTCAAATATCTTATAACTCCATAACTTACATTTCACTTGTATATCAATGGATTTTTCATCTCTAAAACGTGAATCATTATAACTTTCTTTATAACTTTCTGCTATACATTTGTAATTTCCACCATCATTCAATGTAACATTGGTCAATACCAATTCCTTACTCTCTTCTCCAGTACCATTAACTGCTGTGTTATTTTTATCAAACCATGTGACAATAGCAGGAGGGTTACCTCCTACACCTCTACATACACATGACACATTATCACCTTTACTCACAACCAGAGGTGTTGAACATTCAATTATCACGTTTGGTTTAGCTGAAAACAAAAACAGAAAATTTTCACTAATTATAATAAAGAAAATGGACGCTAAAACACTCTTCTTCTAAACATAACGAAAAAATAAAGGTTTAGGAATTTTTCTTAAATTACAAGGATTTAATAAACTTCCAACTAATAGCTGAAAATGTTTCTGTCACAATTAATGCAACGCTAGTTAAACAATAAGAAGTCCTGCGTTTTTGTTGCCAATTTTGTGATAAGCATTGCGCTGACACATACTATTTAGCATAATAAACCTGCTCCAGGAAAGAATTGCATCTACTTTGAAGTAGCAATCCAAAGATACTGCAAAACTTCAAACATCTTCAGTTTTTTTAACTTGCAGTTTGAGTTAACATTAAACATGTTTTATACATTTGTGATTAGGTAGTTCATATTTTTTTAAAATTCAACTCTCCTCCATTTTCCCGTAGGCTTCATGACATTATCGCAAAATTTCATTTGACTGCTCTCCTTATCTGAGTGGCTAATACACAATTTAATCCATACTTTTAGAATCGACCATAACATGGGCCACATGACGGCCCAAACAACCGCTAGAACTTAAAACAATAGCATGAAGGGGCTGAAGGTATATGGAATTATGGAAAAAAACACCGGCACACGCCATGTCGTTAACCATTTAGGGTTGCACATCGTTTGAATATTTTTTAGTTCCCACAAACGATATACGCTGCACCCCCTGGTCTATTTTTATCTACAATTCTAAACCAAATGCTGTGGTGTTGCAGTGGCGGACTGACCTGTTCATGACTTACTAGGAAAACTCAGAAAGGAGTGCTTGTTTGTAGCAAGTAGCTATTTGTAGGGAGAGGGGCTGAAGTGCATGTGCTGCTATATCGAGTATAAATTATTGACAGCTACTTGGCTATACCAAGTTAAGGCGAGAACTCAAATGAACTACATAACTAATAAAACGAAAAATAAGATTTTGAGGATTTTGTTCTTTGAGAATTGCATGATGTTCCCAGCACTAGGCTAGTCCATATCACTTGCTTGCACCATTGAACAAAATGTTTTAACGTAAAATACTATGCTAGAAGTAACAAAAAAGCTTTTAGGCTAACAAATTGTAAGCAATTTTAAATAGCGTAGACTACTCAAAGCTGAATGTCAATAGAAGTTTACTAATACACGTTGATGCTTTTGCATTTTGCCATTGTAGCAATACTATCTTTATCCTGTTGTACTTTAATAGGCTTACCAGTGTTTTATTTACTATTTTCCGGAAAAAGGGCCAACGCAAAAGAGCATATGAATGCGTGGAGCCCCGGGAAACTTCCGGGTGTCTTAATAGGGCAGTCTGCCTCTGTGATTTTGTAATTC